TTCCTTTTCGGATCGGCGTGACTTTCCGATAAGCAAAGTACCGATAAGGACTTATCGGAAAGTTAAACTAAGCTTATCGGAAGGTTAAAATGCTGCGGGTGCGAATCGCCCCTCATTGCTACCTGCTGTACAGTGTGCTGTCCTACGGTACATCTACCGAGCAATGCGGGACTCGGACCTTTCTGAGTTTCTCCTTCAATCACGGGTGCTCTCTCCCTATGAAGCTATTTCTCCTCCATTGTCAAATCGTGAGATTTTGCACCACTGTTGGCCGGCACTTCAGAGGGCTTCTGATTAGCAGTGGCGCTGCAGTCGACTTGGTCCACAGTCATCTCTACTGGCATGCTCGTATTGTTGTGGTCCCTGCTGAAGCTGGATCTTTGACAGCTGCTGCTCTGGAGCGGAGAAGCCTCCGAAGAACGTCAATTTTGATAGAGTCAAAATGTGGCAGGGCTTAACGGGGTTGCGAGAGAATCTTGGGAAGGGGTTGCAGGAATTTAAGAAGGAGGCTTTACGGGAGAGCTCGACATTGATTCGGGAGGTCAGCAAAGTGGGGCCGGCGCTGATCAAGGAGAACGCCTTGGGCGACAGTAGCGAGCAAGAAAATGAGAAGGAAGAGGTGGCACACTCTTCCAGCATTCAAAATGTACGTAGCCTCTCTTCTTTGCACACAGACTGCAGAGCTCGTGCTTGCACACCCTGTAGAGAGGGTGTAATCTTGATGCTCCCTGATTTTCCCTGCAGATACATGTTCTGCTGTGCTTTGCTAAGAGCAATTGTATGTGAAGCTTGTGTGGAATGCACTCACAGATTATGGCCGTGGAATCATGTTTGACGCACATCTTTGGACCTGCAGAAAGCTGAAAATGCGGATGGTGAGGCTCTCGGGCCAGATTCTGAAGGCTGGGACAATGGCTGGGACGAAGGCGAGCACTCGGAGGAGGTGCCCCCAGAGAGGACTACGCACAACCCTCAATCGGAAGACACCCACAAAGTGGCCAATGAGTTTGCCGAGAACCATGCCGGAGTGAATGGAGTTGCAGAGGAAGGAAGCTTTGTGGAACTGGACATCCATGCCAGTCACACGGGTGCCCTGCAAGACAATGAGGACGGCGATGACGGCCAACATTCCCTTGCCGATGCCTCCTCCAGCAGGTCCGCCTCTACAACCCCAAAAGCTTTTGGAATGTCCGACGAGCGCAGAGATACGGAGCCACAAGAGGACCCTGAACTGGCGGGTGACTCTCCGATGGCTGCGGCGATCACCTCGAAACAGCTGGGAGAGGTCACGGGGCAGCGCGACCGGTTGGCGGAGCGTCTGGATGTGATGGAGGACGAGCTGGAGGCTGCAAAGGCGCATCAGGCCAGCCTGGAGGCCGCGCTGCAGGCGGCTCGGAAAGAGGCGGCGGTGGCGGTCGAAGAGAGGAACGCGGCGGAGGCGAAGGCGACGCGGCAGGAGATGGAGGCCGCGGCGGCGAGGAAGAAGCAAGAGGCACTGGAGGGGAAGGTGAAGGCGCTGGCGGGAGGGCTGGAGCAGCGGATGCAGGGACTGAGGCAGGAGCTCGAGGTGAGTGGCGCAGATGCCTCGGCACGGCCAGCGACCATGCAAGATGCTTGCTGGACCAGCCGCCTGCTGCATCTCTGTAGTGTGTTTGCCGCTGTGCCCCTTTTCTGAGGATGCAAGCACTTCTCGAAGTTGGCAAATCAGCAGCTCAGCTTTCTTTCTGGGCCTAGCAGTCCTTGATTCCGAGGGTTCCAAGCTGCCCTGGCAGAGCTTTTACTCTGGATCTGGCCAGGCTTGTGTTTGTTCTTGATGGGAAATGCTGTTTCTGCGCTCTCAGACGCGGACTTCGGAGCTGGTGGCCTCGCGAGCGGAGGTGGCGGAAGCGCGCAGCGCCTTTGACGAGGTGAAGGCCATGTTGGAGGAGAGCAGCTCCGAGCGGGAGCGCCTGGGGGAGGAGCTGGCGCAGCTCAAGGGGCAATGGCAGCAGGCCAAAGACGAAGCAGCCAAGTACAAGCACGAGGTAAACAGTTTGTGCATGTGGCAGAGGCTTAGCGCTGATCACCTTCTCGCCAAGTGTGCTTGGCCTGGCTGTCTGGCGGGAGATTCGACCGTACTAAGTGTCCCTTTCGGATTCATATTATCTTGGATGCTAAGCCACAGCAAGTTGCTTGGGACAATCTGTTGCTGTGTTGCCAGGTCAAATCAAAGTGTCCCTAAATTGCGTTCCTCTTCATTTTGCAGGCGGAAGGTGCGAGGCGCGAGATTGCAGAGAGCGTCGCTGAGCTGTCGGAGGTGCGGGCGGACCTGTGGGCCACGGTGGGTGCGCTGCATGGATGAAAGTCGGATTGCTTGCATAGATCTCTTGTGAGCTCTTTGTCGAGTGGACATGTAGGAAGTGTATTCCTATGGACCCATAACCGTTTCTTCTGCACTTATGCCGAGTTTGACTTCAGAAGATTGGGTTCTGAGGATAGGAGACCTGCAAATGCAACGGCCGATTCGAAACGCCCTCAGTGGGAACCAAGAAAACCGAGAGAGCGACTCGATTTCTCCTCTCTCTGATGGGAATCGGCCCCGCTTGCTTGCAGAAGGAGGCGGCCAAAGGGAATGCTCTTGGGGAGGACGAGCGCGCCAGCTTGGAGGCCGCCCTCAAGGCTGTCTCCGCCTCTGCTCAGACGGCCGCCGCCGAAGCCGGGGCTTGGAAAGTGCGAGCAGAGACGGCAGAGGAGCAGGTCAGCGCTTGATCAGAGATCAGCGCATTCCAACTAAATGTGCAATAATGGTTGCGTCTGTCTGGGACGATTTTCGCACACGTGCTTCAGGAAAGTCCGGACACTTCCGGCCTTTGGGTTGTACAGGCAGGGACATGGACTCTTTGGTGGGCGCCAATTGGTCAAGTCCGTCCTGCTGCAGAGCCTTGACCCTGCGGATTTTCGTACAGGTGACCACGTTGCAAGCATCGTTGGGCGCAGCGGAGGCTGCTGTGGCGGCTGGCGAGCAGCGGGTGCTCGAGGCGGAGATGGCGGCGCAAGAGGCGGCACGCGCGGCCAACCAGGCGCAGCTGTCCAGCGCGGAGCTTAAGGAGCAGAGCGAACAGCGCTCGCGCATCTTCCGGGCGGCGGTGAAAGCGGCAGTGGGCAAGATACAGACGGTGAGGAAGCCAAGAGGGTGCCCTTGCTCCGCCTCTGGACTTGCCTCTGACTGTTTGAACTCGATTCGAATCCCTCTTGCAACATGACAGTTTGCCGTCCTGAATCACAGAAGCATGCTTCGATTTGCACAGTGTGAGGCAGTGAACTCCTTATGTTTTGAGCACGTTTATGCACGTTGTGACGCACCCGATTTTGTGCTGCTCACAAGCCATACTATAACGTAGCCCAACAGATTGTAGAAGGGGCGACGGTCGTTCGAAGTCAGCGAGGTATTCGATCATTTGGTGGTGTCACTTTCCGTGCTTTTCGTGAGCGTAGGGGCGAAATCTTTCTGGTCAACTGGTAGGCGGCCCCAGGCGAAGCTGACGGCCAAGAGGGTGCTGGTTGCAGGAGTTGGAGCATGAGCGGGATGCAGCACTGGAGCGGGCCCAGCACCTGGAGCGGGACCTTAAGGACCATGCCGCACGGCTCCAGGAGACGCAGGTGAGGGCCCCAAGAAAGTAGAGGGTTCGTCAGCGGCTGAGAAGCAAGGTCGTGTTAAGCGGGCTAAAGGTTTATGCAGCGCAAAAGGAGTCTTCGTGAGCTGCATCATTGGAACAGGCATGGGTGATTTCGATTGAAGGCCTAGCACGGTAGCTCGCTTTGCAGATTGCACCCCGAAGTGATATTGCGGCCAAGTGTGAGGTGCTCGATATCTGGTGCCCGATCTCAAGCAAGTTTGGACTCAACTTGCCTTCTCTGTACGTCTCTTGTCAGAATTGATGAGGACATCTTCGAAAACAGAACGATCATGCAAAAGACGTTTGCGGAATCCGAATGCACAGATCCCGTTCGTGCTCTTGGAAGTGGGAGCGACGAGCCATCTTGTTGCTGATGTGCCGCTAGAAACCTAGCTGGTTCCATTGTCTTCTGCTGCAGCAAGATGCCACCATAAAACCGGAGTGCTAACTTCCGACAAGTTTGGGCTTCGGGAGGAGCTTGCCGACTTGAACCCTTCATGTTCTTGCCCAACCGTTTACCTTTCTTCTGACCAACAGGCTTCCTTGGAGGCCGTGTCTACGGAGCTCGCCTCCGAGCAACGCTCCGCAGAAGAGGCACGTGCCGCGGCCGCCAGCCGGGAGGAGCGGCTAGAGACGGTCCTGCGCAAGCTGAGCGAGGCGGAGGACGAGACGCGCGCGCAGCGAAGGCAGGCCGAAGCGGCCAGGGAGGTGGCCACGCAACTCACACATAAGGTGGGTCGCCATGGCTTGGGACTCCAACGTTACCACAAGAGACTTTCGACTGTAACGGTGCTCTTGGCTCGCTGAGTGTCCTTAGGTTCTCGCAAGGAGCTGAACGTTCGGTGTAAGTAGCTCTGTGTTAAGGACCAGGTTGCGAATCGTTACGCTGCCTGTGTCTTCAGATACCGCTCTTGCTCAGCCCCGTTGTCCGTACACTTGCCGAGGGGCTAAGCTGGAAGGATGATGAACCTTCTCAAACGCCGTGCTGACTTGCAGTTGTCGTCCGCGGAGGCAGAGTACGCAGAGAACCGCACAACTGCGCAGATGGCATCGCAGCAGCGCGACTGGGCGGAAGAACGGCTGGCCGCAGAGACAGCGCGGCTGAGCAAGCTGCTGGAGGAGATCGAGAGGGAGAGGGACAACGTCAAGGTGCGGTGCGCACTAAATATATATTCCCTTGGGACAAGTGTGGGGAGGCGCCATGTCCTGGTAGCAAACTGGGTGTCGATCCATGCCCACTTGATGTATGCAGGTGGACCCGCATGAGTTGCTTTATAAACAACAGTGGTACATCGTTGGCACAATTTCTACATTGCTAAACCGACCGATTGTATTGGAAAGTCCGAACAGCTCGTAGGCTGCCAGGATGCAGCGCCTCTTCGCAATGCGTTACTCGCATGCTCAACTGAGGCGGCCTTCGTGCTGCCAAAGGTCTCAGTGTTTCGCGCTTACAGATTGCGTCCTACAAAGTACACGGTTTGACAACGAAATCCCCTTCCACCTAATCCTCGGCTCATCCCGCATTGCGCAGGCTGCTGCCGCGGAGGCGTCCTCCCGGTCCGCCGAGGAGGTCGCGTCGTCGCGCGCCCGGGTCGCGGAGCTGGAGGGCAAGCTGGCGGTGCTGGAGAGCCGCTCCGTCCGCGGCAGCGAGGAAGCGCGCCTGCGCGCCGAGCGGAACCGGAGCCCTGCTGCAACTAGCGCGGGGCGGGGAGGGGACAGCGGCCTGGAGGACCTGGGGCTGGAAGGGGTGCGCTGGAAGGCAACGGACGATTGGGAGGTGAGGGGCTAAGCAAACGGGCGCAAGTGGGATGGCATCTTCTGGTCATTCGCCGTCATCCGTCTCTCTTGAACAATGGCAGGCGGTGCTATGTGAAGTCAGAGGAGTTGTGCTCTTACAATGAACAACCGAACCCCTTCCGAACCCTCCCAAGCTGACGGGCAGTATTCTACCCGACATGGACTTGCAATTACGTGTTCACTCGGCTCGTTGCCCTTCATCAGCATACCAGGGCTAGTTTGTTGCTCTGATTGACTATTTCAAACCGCTTTTTCACGTGCAGGCTCCGGGCGAGGCTCGGTCCCGCAAGCCCGGCAAGCGGGGGGCCGTCAAGGCGCCCGTGGATGACTCGTGGTGGGGCCGAGAGGAGCACGAGGCAGGGTCGCGGGGCAGGATCTCGAAGCGGACGGCCGTTGTGTTGCTCTACCTCTTCATCCTGCACATCATGGTGAGCGGTAGTTCTGCGACAGACTAGGGGGCTGTTCCAAGCAGCCGCACAGATCCAGCCTCGATTTTGCTCGACTATAGCCACAGCTCTCCTTGACAGATCCAAAGGTAGCCTCGATGGTGCTCGATGATAGGCAATGCTTTCCTTGACGGTTGAAAGTGTTTGCAAGATTGATGTTGCTTTGACCATGATGGAGCTCACCGCTGAGCAACTTGACGCCCTCGGCCTTTGCCATTTGTAACGGGCGATGTGACTTGTCGATTATGCTGTACTGCAGGTCATGATCTCGTTTACGAACCGGGCTTCTCCGTTGTGTATAGACATGGGGGCACAAATTGATAATCAATTGCCTGGATAATGCATATCAATTAGACAGCCCTGTAAAATACACACTGCCTCCCTGTTTGAGAGACTGGAGACTTGATTGATTGACTCTAACAAATCCCGTTCCGGTCACAGATAGAACACGTTCGGCACAGGATATGGACGCTGAACCTCGTGCATTACCTACAAAAGTACCATAATTACATAATTACCTCCAGTTCCTTGGTGTGCTTTTGAGTCTCGCTTTTCTGCAAACATCCGAGCACCTGGGCTCTTTTCTTCTGCAAGCCACTCAAGCGGTCGGCCGGCTATTGCATGGCCCATGTAAAGTAGACGAATGCTTCGAATGTAGCTATAGCCGCCACGGTTGCATTGCGATTCGCACTACGTGGGGGGTCCATATGCATGCAGTGACATGTACGGAAGCTTGACATATGCAACATTTGACAGTGAAGCATGCTGATGCGAAATATCTGTGGAGTCGATCTGCATATCCTCAGTGCATCAATGATTGCACCGGGTTAAATTGCACTAGTGCAGAACAGGCAGCTATGCATGCAATGAGATAGCGTACTGAAGCTCTTATTATAGACTATTCAATCACAAATCTGCACATGGGCGGGCAGCAGGCCGACCGTACGTCGCAGCATGATCTCGGCCTGGAGCTAGAAAACTTTGATCTCAGACGTTGCTCGGTCGGGGTAAAGCTCCAAGTAGCGGTATGAGCCTAGATCCGGATTGCGACGTCTATCCATTTGTACGTCGAGTCATGCACGCCTTGGTCACTAACATGATGATTTCGCCATGTGCCATTGGAGGATAATTACAGGGCTGCCGGACTTCTCTAAACTGTCCCTGATGGCCTGCGAGTGCTGCCGGACATGCCAATCCTCTCCGCTGCAAAGGTCTTTGCGTGCAGAATCTGTAACTTAAGCAGCAGATTTGATACCCATCGAACTTCCAGCCTAGCTGGATTGGGAACACGCCAAACGTGGATCATCTAGCTCGATCCATGTCGCTGAAAACGAATGCCCTGACGGCCAAACGCACAATATGATTGATTCCCTGACATGTTGCTGCCAGTATAAGGGGATTGGTATCACTCGTTTCGGTCTGTCGTTTCTAGCTGGCACTTTCACTGCCGTTGCAAGACTGCCGCAGAGTCAGGAATGTGCGCCGAACCGTTGAACCGGCGTGAGTAACTTTAGCAAGCACAGATCTCACAAATCTCAAGTGAACGACAAAATCTTCTTTAGATGTGTTTCATATATTTGTACGATTATAGAATGCGAGCACCAGCTGGGATGAGCGCTGGCCCGAATGTCCAAACTTTACCCAATCATGTAGGACTCAGATTGTTGCTCAAAACGCCGCTCGTCAACTCGAGGTTAGTGACGTACACAACGCGCAGGCGAGGACGACTGCAGCCATGCCGAAGGACGCGCCTCTGCTGGCGGCGGATCCTGGTGGGGGGGTGGCGACCACAATCCGGGGGAGGGGGGGGCGGCGGCACAGCCGCTGGAGGGGGGCACGGTTTGGGCGAAGGGCTCGGGGAGGGGAGTGGGCGGCTGACCGGGGGGGAGGGGGGGGCCGGCGGGGGCGCCGCATACTCTCCGCACGTGGCCGTAGAATTGAGCGCGCATAAAGTTGGGGCGTAAGGGATCCCCTGTAGATACGGTATGACAACCGATGAATGCCCCTTGAACGCGGAGCCGTTGAGCCTTGAGGGCAGAAGAGCGGAGGTCTGTGCTTAACTGCCTTCATGAAGACGAGAGAAGTATCTTTCCATCAGCTTGCAGTGGGTGTCCGTTTGGAGTACAGTCATTGATTGCGTTCCAGGAAAGTCTGGACTTATCCAAGTAGGCTGGCAGTCAGATGGGCTGCACATGTGGAACTCGGTGATTGCAGCATCAGCTTATCTGCAAAGCTGGAAGCTTCAAAGAGCTTTGCTCGGGTTCACGTTGTTACCTGTTCGAAGCACTCGGTAACTGCGATGCCGGCCGTGGTGGTGTTGTCGCCCCGCCACAGCGCATACCCGCCGCCAACCACCTGCGGGGAGTCCGTCGGTTTGTGCGGCCGGTCAATGACGCATAAAAAGCAATCTGGACGATCTGAAAGCCAGATCACCCTCTGCCAAAGCCTGCCTTTGTTGAAACTCCGGTATGAGAACGAGCTTCAGTTCAACGGAAATCAGCCAGTCCCACAGGAAGATCCTGTTTACCGCCTCAGCGTATCCTTCGTCACTAATACTCCGAAATTCTGGAACCATTCAAGACGCATCACGAAGCAAGCTACAAGCCGTGCCCTGACGAGCATACTATTATGGTTTAGGTAGGATAAGTTTTAGGATAGCACAGTCCCCGAGGAGAATAAAACTAAACCCCAAACCGACAGATACACCCGCCTGGCACCCGTACCCACCCTAGCCCCCAAATTAACGCCACCCGTTCGCCGGGCCAAGACCATATCCTACCTAGGACTATCATGCCTATGCTATAGGTCTATCTGACGAGCCCCGCACCTGAGCGCAGTTGGCCAGCATCTGGTCGCTCCAGACTTGGATCCCGGGGACGTTCAGCACCGCGGGCATGACGGATGCGCGACACGTGGCGCACCCCCCGGGCTGCTGCAGCGCCTGGGGGCTGCAGGCCAGGTCGAGGTTCTGGAGGAAAGTGATGTCGGTGATACCAGAGAAGCCGTTGATCGGGCACAGCGAAGACGCGGGGAGCGGGTTGTTCTGCGCGCGCGCAAGAGGGTGTGCTCGTCAGATGGTTTGGACGATGAAAGACTTCGCTCAAAACACGCTCTGCATATCGTATCAGTCATACACCTGTCGCCTAGGGAAACATTCTGGGGGCAAGAAATTCTAGGAGAATCGTTTATCTGTTGACAGAGTATGATCTACATTTCTAGGCACTTAAGTGTGTCCTTTCAAAAGGGCCTCCGGAAAGCAGGCGACTGGAGAAGCTCTCCCTGCACTGTGCGTCACTATCAACCGACGCCTTTCGATACAAAGTCGCGGCTGGCAGGTTTGCGAGAGTTTGCAAGGCCAAGCTTAAAATGTGGGCGTCGTTTTTGCTGCTGACCATGCAGTTCTGCACGGCGGCCACCAGCTGCGGCACGGCCTGCGTGGCAAATGCCTGGAGGACCGCCATGAAGCAGCCACCCACCGCCTCCTGCGTGCTCACGTTCACCGGGGGAATCTGCGCGCGCGGCCGAAAAATTTTAGAGTCGAGGCACGAAGCATCAGGCAGGCGGACCGCAAATCCGCGGAATGGCTGGGCCGACCAGGAATTGCAGCGCTGCCGTTCAGATTTGATAACGGGTCAGATTTATTGTTTGCGCTTGATTAGCTACGGTTTGTCCGAAGCTGTGCATTGGAACCTGTCCTGCCAGACATTGCGGCCCCCTGGCAATCGTGGCCAGATTAGTATTTGTAGACTGGAGTCCTTATGATCAGATTGGACGGTAGCGCTGCGAATTCGTCCATCGGCGAAGTTTTGCAGTGCGTCTGCAGCCACGATGTTGAGTATTCCGCAAGGAACGACTCGACAGTTGATCAGGCGTCGCTGATGGTTTTCTGCGAGAAGCGAACGGGTTCCCCGTAGCGACTCTTCGCTTGCTCAGTCTCAGGTCGGAGTTACCTGCTTTCAACCTGAGACGTGTTCGACGACGAGTATCTCCCGTCCCCTGTGAACACGCAGCCCGGAAGAAGCCGTCTAGCTCAAGAAGGAGTCGACGCTTCAAAGCTTGTGGCTTGCTTTCGGGGCAAGGCGGCGGCGCTTGCGGTGCTAACCAAGGGTTCGGCGGACGCAGGACTTGTGTGACCAAAAACCGTCACTTCTAGTTGTTCTCTCTGCTCCAGCAAAACAGGTTCAAGAACATGACCCGGTCTAACGATCAATCACCAGTCACCCATCTTCTTAACCCAAAGTCCCAGGCATCCGAAAAGTGTACCCGGGTTAGCAATCAGCCACAAACAACCCAACTTCCTGACAGAAGTCCCCGGGCGCTTTCTCCGCATCGCGCCTCACCATGATGGCCGCCCGGTAGATGGCCGCGGCGCAGATGGGGCAGTGCGGGGAGCCCGCGAAGGTGGGGTCCGACGCCGCGCAGTTGGTCCACACGCCGGCGGCGTCCAAGTACAGCTTGAGGTCCGCGGGGGCGGTCAGGTTGCACGACTGCTGGCCCAGGTAGTACGGGCGAACGTACGGAGGGACGCGCCACGGGGTGTACAGCTGGCACACGGGGAATGGGAAAAAGTCAGGAGATTTGTGTCAAGAAGAGTTGGCGGGGGCTTGGGGCGGTGTCTTTACACCTGTGATCCTTGCGCAGTCGCAGGGGAAAGATGACGTTCGTGAGCTTAGAAACGAGGAAAGCGAAGCACAGCGAAGGAGCGCGATCGGCTCCGACAGCTGTTCTTCGCTCTGCAAAGCAGGACTTCGTGGGACGTGGCACGTGAGGAGCCCAAGGCTGTGACGACTTTGCTCGAAACCGAAAGTAGCACGACAAGCAGAACAAGAAGAAGGTCACGCTCAGATCTGTAAGTATATGCGGAATGAAGGCCCTACAAAAGACCGGTGCAGGTCCGATGTTTCCGCGTGACAGCCGTATACCAACCCGTTTACTCGCTTCCGTCTTTGATGTAAAATATACGGTGCCCCCAGTGCGGCTCACCGGGCACTGCTGGATTTTGGTGACTGCGGAAATGGTGATGCCGTTCGCCACCAGGATGCTGGCCACGGTGTTTTGGCAGTCGCTGACGTACTCGCTGACGTACGTCCCCGACGCGCCCGCGGCCGCCATTGCCGTGATGGCCAGGCTCACGTACGTCATGCACGGGCTCACGCAAATCTGGTTCCTGCGACCGGCGGCATAGAATGTCAATGTTAAACTCAAGCCCCTTTTCCGGTCGCGATTCCTCGAGCCTGTACGACTGATCAGCTTTTTAAGCGGACAACATTCTTTGGCTGACAAGCACGTAGCACAATCTCAAGAGGAGTCCTTCCGCATCTCCAGTACGTACCCACAGATGGCAACGCCATCTCCTTCCTTTTCCTTTCCCAGAAAGACTGGCGTGCACAGGATGTTCTCTGTAGGGACGTCAGATTGACGTGCGACTCAAAAGCTTCAAGACGCAGTCCTAGTTCTCGCTTCGCACTCCTCACGTGGTGAAAGACGCGAGGCCACACGTCACGAGCAGGTTGGCTGCAATGTCCGGCACGGCCAGGTACAGCTCCGCGTAGCTAGTGACGGGACAGGTCCGGTTGGCCGTCACCGGCACAATCGCCGGCACGACGGGGCCGTCCCCCACGCTGCCGCCCTGGCCGCCCCCGCCGCCGATCACCGATGGGTCGCACACTGCGTATGGCACGTTCTGGCACACCTGGAAGGAGAGGGGGCGAAAGGGGCACTTCAAGATGTGGATCCAGACAAGACACGTGGCAAGAATAAGAGGGATGGTGGCAGTTTGGAGTCCCGGCGAGCGAGCTAGTTGGTATTCCGTTTCTCTCGGCTTTACGCTGTATTGCTAAAAGGAAACATGCCACCTGGCCTGGCTGGGGTCAATGAGTTGCTTTTGCTGCTGATCCCATCCGCCCTGTTGTTCTTGAAGAGAATGCGACGGATCTTTACGAGCCCTCTTCTGTTATTTTGCTGCTTCAAAGGCGTTGCTCACCGAGTATACGTCGATAGCCTGGGAGGACGAAAGGCGCGCTGCCACGTCGTTAAGGCATGCTCCGCAGGCGTTGCTGTCGGAGGTCACAATCTCCAGGTTGTTTGCATCGTACAGCTGGTTCTGCACGAGCAACACATGACACACGTCAGCAGCTGCAGAGTAGGTGTGGGGCAACTGTTGGCGCAAAGATCGTATGCCGTTTGCCAATTGTAGCCCCATGAAGTTTCTAATTCAGACTCTTCGTGTCTTTCCATGCAGAATCCCTGATTGACCTGATAGTCCCCTTTGCCGATTGTAAAAGCGCTTCAGGAGATCAGGACTTGAAGACTTGTTTTCCTTCAAATTCTTTTATCAACTTCCTTAAGATTTTCTTGTTAACTTAACAACTCCCTTAATTAAGGCAACGAACTTTTGAACATCTTCTCAGCTCTTGGGTCCAGCTGTCAAGAGATCCAGCTGTCCTAGCCTTGAGACACGGAGAGAGGCGTCAGCAGCCAGTAATGATAGCGACTGACCTGCAGGAAGGTTAGGACCTTGGGACAGCACCCCTTTTGGGAGTCAGACTTGAAGGGGTAGTAGATGTTGCACGCAGTAACCACGGCAGACAGATTGGCGCCCAGCACAGCCCCATGGACGGGGCACTCCGACGACAGCTGACCATTGGCAGCCTCCACTGTGACGTCAGGCAGTGAAGACAGCTGTCAGGGCTGACATCATGTGCCTTGGGGTAATGATGGCCGGTGGGGTGGGTTAAAGGCTTTCTTGTTTGGCCCTCATTTGCTCTGAGGACGTGTGCATGCAGCTATAACTGGTCAACTGCTGGCTTGTTCTCAGACTTTGAGGTTCTTTTCTGCGTTTCGATCAGTAAACGGAAACATAGGCTTGAACCCGCATAAGCGGACTGGTTGCCTAGAAGTTCCTGTCTAGGGATCGCACAGCTGTCTACACAAGCCTGCCCTATAAAGCCATGCTGACACCTCAAGACGTTAGGCTCGTGCGGTTGCAAAGCTTTCTTGAAGAGTCTGCAGCGGCCACAACGGGGTTGAAGTGGAAGCCAAAGTGGGGAGACGTCAATGCTGCGGTCCTTTCATACGTGGAAAGGCTGCCCACGCAATGCTGTGATCGTGGCTCACCTGACTGGGAAAGTGCGCAGAGAGCTGTAATTGCAACGAGTGCCACGCTCCAAATGGCATTCATCTTGCTTGATACGACGTGACGTCTCCTGTCGGTGCCTTTCATCAGCCTGCGCATCATACAGGATTCATCGCTGGCGGCCAATGCTGCCGGTGCCATCCTTGCCGAACCCAATTACTCTTGTGCAGACCAGGTCCTGCACATCCTAGACTCAATTCTAAGGAAGGGTTTGCCTCAAAGTCAGGCTCTGTGCTCTTGGAAGATGGTTCTTGCGTATGAAATTTGTATTGCAGCTTCTAAGCCTGAGTGGACGAGTGCCTCTACTACATCGTCGAATGAGGCATGAGGGCTTTTCTCTGGCTTGCCGTGTGGGGACTCTGGGGCCAGGACATGAATGGCAACTTCGGCAGAGGAATTGCGCTTTTACTTACCTACAATCAATAAGAGTCAAGACGGGCGCCTGAACTTCGAAAGGCACATTAATACCACGGGGTGTCATGAGGAATACGGAGTTTATTTGAGCACAGTGCACTGCTGAGTCGACTTGAGGACCGAGATGTGCGATTATTGTACGGTCTTCTCGAATTCCATTGCGCGCGCAACTCACTGAATTGAAAATGGACGGTACTTGAGGGCCTTCCTATTCTTGACAACGGTTACGATCGGATCGAGGCGGTAGACCCTACGTACACTGAAGAGCACGACCTTCAAAATTGACTCGGACGCGGTCCCCGCGGTCGCGCGATAATTCACTCTACAAATTCTGTGTCGCACCGCAGATGACTAACGACACTTGGCAAAAATCTGCTTAGGTTTGTTGCGAAATCCAGTTGCCCTGTAAGCAATGGCCGATTCCCCGGGTAAGAAACAAGACCATACAAGGGCTGTTCTTAGCGTCCAAACTGCCCGGTTCAGACCTTAGGCTTACAATTTAACCGGGCCCTTCACGCGCCTATTTTTGCTCCCGGTGGATCGCAAGCCCAGCCAGAAAACTGGGCAGGCTGGACGCCAGAAACAGTCCTGCAGTGGTTCCAGATTGCTTGCCCGGGGAATCGACCATTCCTTACAGGGCTGAAATGCAGACTGGATTTCCGGCAATCTTCCGAGATTCGCCAGTCTGCGGTGCGACCAAAATTTATAGAGTGATTTTACCGCGGGACCGTCCGAGTCAAATTTGACTCGGCCCAAGGTCGTGCTCCCGCAACCCAGTCTCACCGATATTATGAACAAAACCTCATATTGCCATATGCGGTGTCGGTCATAAGTCATGACGTTTGGTCCATACTCAGTATGAGTCGGCGGTCTTAGCGGTATGTAACGGCCGTCATAGGCATATGATAAAATGTCCATATGCCGCCATTGCCGGCCGGACCTCCTCAAGCCTCTTACCTCACCAAAGCAGGCCTGCAGGGGCTCATGCAGGGCCACCTTGCCACAAGTGCACAAGTTCAGCCTCATCCCAGGTCAATCTGGACGGATCACACTGCAGGGCGCCACAACCTCAATGCTAGCTTCAAGTAAGCATTTGGGCTTTATTTTGGAGCTTTGAGCTCTGCCTCTCCTTCTGGCATTTACCTCCTTTCTAGCTTGCAGCAAATTGTAAGTCTGGCACAGCGTTGACACTGAGGCAGATCTGATTGCAAATAGAAGGGAGGGAGAAGGGACCGGCTCTCTTGCCTCATGGATACATCAGAGAGCTCTGAAGAACAGCTCTCAGAACTTTCTAGCCCGGCCGTGTCGTCTTCCTCCTCAGAGCGAGCGCCCCAGACACACCTCCCCAGCAAACGAAAGCAGGATGAGGTTCCTATTGACTCTGAAGAGGAGAGTGGGGATGTGCAGAGCAGAGAAAGCTTGGGGCGAACGGCAAGCAGAAGCCTTTCTGGCTCAGGGGCTGCCTCTTCATCTAGGGAGCGCAGCGTCTCTTGTGATGGCCGGGAGCGTATGTTTGCTGACGGCGTGCCAGTGACCAGCGCTGCCCCCAGACCAGAGAGGCGAGGAAAGCCCCAAAACAGAAGTGTGCCTCCGGTGCAAGATCCGGGTGCAAGCTCCCAGGGAGTGGATGCTAAAGAGAGAACCAGCGGGCGCAATGACGGGGGCAGCGGGGTTGATCATCGTCGAGATAACGCAGATGGTAACCCGCGAAGTGCGGGGGATTCGGGGACTGCTCCGCGGCCTGTCTGGTTTGAGGAAGAGGTGGAGGAGGCTGAGGGGCAGCCTGATTGGGCAGTGCGAACAGAGAGGGAGTACCGGGCTTACGTTGAAGGACGTCAGTCTATTGCGGCCGAGTTACTCCGACAAGAGGCGGTCCCTGGAGACGACGAGTCGGGGTGCAGCTGTCAAGGTTGTCAAGGTGTTGGTATCCTGCGATGCCAAGAGTGCACAGGAGGCCGCGCGATATGTGCGGAGTGCGACGAAGGGTTCCACCCCCATGCTCATTTTCACCACCGCTCCATCCTCAAAGCGGAGGGCTTCTGGTCCCCCCTCAGCCCCACGAAAGCCGTCGTCAATGGCCAGCTCAATGATGTAGCCAAGTGCTTCTCACAGCCGCCTTTGCGCCCCTGTGCGCACTGCAAGCAAACGTCGTGGGGTCCTGCGCAAGCAGTCGCCGATAAGTGGGCTGTGATTACCCTTGAGGGGCGCTTCGACTTCCACAAAGCTGCCTTTAAGTGTCAAACAGAGGGCTGCCCCTGCCTGCAGATTCAGGATGGGGTTGAGGCGCTGCAGCTTGGTTACTGGGTGGGGACAGTGACGAAGGTTGTGACGCTGTACAGCGTTGCAATGCTCAAGCACTGGGACAAAGTGCAAAAGCACATGCCGGGATCAGGACTATCTGCCTTCGTGAAGATTTTGGAGGAGACTGGGCAGGAGCTTGGAAGGGTAAGTGATGGAAGCAATCGTTTGAGCTAAGCTGAGAGCGTCGCACCGTCCACATTTGTAGGGGCTTTTTGTGTTTTGTGTGCCCTCTTGAAAATCTTAAATTTGCTCCTCTCTATGTACAGTCTGCTTGCTTCAAAATTAGCAGAGCCTGGCTCACCGGGCCCTTGTTTGTGCTTCAGTGGTAACAACATAATACCCTCCTGATTCATTTTCTTGCGGTCGTCTTGCCCTCGTCTGTGGATACATCTATCAAACTTCTTGTGGAGATTGGTAAACCGTATTCTGTTCTGACCATCCATACATCCTAGGGTCATTCATTCTGATAGAGAACTATTCTGAGGGAAGATGTTTACTGATGTTCATTCACGTAGGCACTTGCATATTGAACCCAATGTCGAATTACTTTGTTCAACAATATTTATTGTGTCTCCCTTTGCTTCGACTTCCAATCAAATTACATCCAGGTTATCATGACTCGGGTTATCTAGCGTTCTACCCCCATAGAAAGTATCCTCCCTTGTCCCTTCACTAAGTGAACAGATGCTGACGCAATCTTCTCAATTCTGAGCAGGAAGGACCGATCAACCGCCACACTCTCGGGCTCGCCTGCAGCGAGTTCAAGTTTGCGAAGTACGAGTTCGCCTCCCTGGGTCGGATGCAGACCGGGCTTGAGTGTCCAGCGTGCTACCTTGATCTCCACTCTATAATCAGTGATGGGAACCGGAAACTCTACCGGTGGGACCGCTCGTATGCCCTGTTCCAAGACTGCTACTACGGGGAGCTGTTGATCTTCGAGGATGAGAGTGTGCTGCGCACTCTAGAGGCGCTCGACCTACAGCTCGGGGTATCGCGGCCGGATGCGCAGTGTGGTGGAAAGTGGAAAGCGGCGCGGGACACACGGAGTGCTATCCGGGGTCAGGCGGAGACGGGAGCGGTGTTTTGCGGCTGCCGCCACCAGGTGGCCATGAAGGCAGTCAATCTTGTGCGCAGCGGGGAGCGCTTCGGGTACACCTACTTCCTGGACCGCCACTTTATCCAGGGGCGACACCCGCGCTTCTTCTGGCAAGACATCATATGCAAGTACTGGCCGTGGCGTGAGAAGGCGCTGGACAATATGGGGGAAGACGTGGACGGCGTCACAAAACCCGCGCTCAACATCATGCACGGGAAGCTCCACTCCTGGCCGTGTCAGGTGAGGCGACAACCAGACTGGATTCTCAGAAGGACAAGGTTTGCGAGGCAGCTCAAGCTTGACGAAATCGGTGCGCAACTCGCACAGTGTTTGTCGCATCATTCGGTTCCAAGCGGAAAGCAAATTGTTTTTTGCTCTGCCTGGTAGGGTGGACTCAAATCGGTTGTGATTTTCTTTTGTAACGCTTGAGCGTGAATGGGCCTAAGCTGCTCTGTCGTGTCAATAAAAGCTTCTTTCTAATGAATTGCCACACTAGTCTTTCTTGAGCGTACCTGCTTTTTTGCGAGCTCACATTATTGTGAGCCAGTTAGACTGGCCAACGGATAGGCTGGATGTGACGTGTTAGATTATCAACAAAAGAGCAGCGCGATCGTTTTGTGGGGACGTTTTCTATTGGGGTTGAAGGGCTCAAGTTGCAAATCACAGATCTCCAACTCGGAAACAGGTGTGTCCGACCTGGTTCTTACTGGAAACAGAGGAGTTGTCCTCAGTTGTCAGCAATCCGACCTGATGCTTTACTGGCCATCTAAGCTGACTCTTTGCATGTCACGTCCGATCTTACCTCGCTGTGCTATCATTACTTCAAGCACACAAACAATATGCGGGCGAAAGGAACAATCGGTTTATCTAGTGCCTCTCCTGTAGTCACTGATTGTTCCTTCTCTTTTGGCAGGCCGTGTTCGGAGGCCGGTGGCAAAAGGGGGCCGGAGCAGGTTCTGGGGAGGACATGGAGTTGTTCTTCTCTTACATGTCGCGGTTCGGGTTGGTGACGAAGAATATGGGAGCAGCCCGTAAGTAATCACAAACTGTTTGACGGGTTTTAAGGTGGTCAAAGATGTCTGATCTGAGTCTACAGCCATCCTAGTAGAATTCCGGGCGCCAAGGAGCTTTTACGGCGTCAGTCGACTGGAGTACGAGCCCGTTCCTTACTTCCACGCACCCTTCATCGGGAGCGTACGAATATTGGCCTGGAAGAACTGAACGGCTATCTAGATTACAACAACATTTCCGGCATCGTTTGTCTGCACCAAGTCTAATACTGAATCCGAAAAGTCTTGAATCAAGTCGACTGCCACGATCTGCTCGTTGCTGGCTCATTCAGTCCCCGTCGTGGTGTCGTGCTGGGTTGTGATACTGTATTGGATTAGCGCTTGCCGTTTCCTAAGGGTGTCTTATCTTGACGTACAGGACGAGGAGAACGCATCACCGAAGCCACCCTCTACTGGAATGAGGACAAGCGGGCCGCCATGGCGAAGTCGTTGGCTAAACGGTGAGTTGGAGATGCGTACACTTTGAAGTGGCGCACTCTGAAAACAAGTAACCTCTCGACTGATCTTCTTTCAAGTATTCCATTCAACAAAGGTGCAAAGCTGTGCAGACATACAAGTGCGATCAAATTCACGTGCGGACTTCGCTTTCTAAACACTCCACGAAATTCATAAGGTCCCTCAATGGTTTGAGGGCGGCTTCGATGATATGCGCAGCTCGATTACGTCATTCTTATTGAATTGCATTGTTACATTTTAGCACGTTTCGAATTCTAAGAGTCCAGTTGTACGTGCGCTGGCTGTCGATCACGCGCTTGCTCCTACGTCAACTTGTCGCTCGTCAGAAAAGAGGGAAGTACATCACGTGTGATGCATTTGGTTGCGTTGCATTTACTTGTCCGAGCGCCTTAGAAATGTTAGGAAGGAATAGTTTCTAGTCATGATCCGGGTCGGGTCAAAGGAGCGGCCGGAATCTGTAACGAACGTGCAAAGCCGAGAGCACCAGGAACAAAGTTGTTTTCAACCAGATTTCGGTCGTTTGATGAAGAGACGTTCAGTCTCCTTTTACCTCAGTGCTTCCACACGATCTGTTGTGTAACATCCGTTCCTTTCTTCCACAAAGGTTGGACCAGACGAAGTTCCGCGTCGTCGCAGCTGCCCAGGACTTGGATCGACTCTGTCAAGAGACGCTGCAGATTTCCGAATCCGAGGTACCCCTCCAGAAGTTCGAAGAATGGAAGTCTGAGGTGCAGCAGATCGCCAAAGAGCAGTTGAGCCGTTCGGGCCGGGCTCCAAGTGCGGCTGTAAAGTACTTCAGTCTGGTCACGGAGGTCGAAGCCGCTCGAGAGCTGGAAGCATTCCGCCAGTCGGGGTCGTTCGAGGACAGTTTACTGTGCTCAGAAACGGTCCAGCAGGTCCGTTCGCTTACTGCGGAGGTAGTGAGGGACCTGCATCTCAAAGAGAGGAAGCTAAAGGAACTAGAGCGGAGTCTTTTTTCGGGGGAAGTGGGTCCGAGTATTCCAGAGGGAGCGAAGCAGAAAGTGTTGGAAGCAAGCCGGACGGAACTGGCCGAGCTGACCATCCTCGGTTTGCAAGTCGAGGTTGAGGCTCTTCTGCACAGTCTGGAGAAGTACAAGTCAAGGATAGCAAGCGAGGCAGACTCCGCAAAGATGCGCGCGTCGATGCGCAAGAAAGAGGGTGAGGTAAAGAAGCACATAGAGGCGGCGATCGATAGGTACAACGTTGTCGTTCAATAGGGTGACCCGAACAAACGGAGGGATTCAGCGAGCGCGTCCGCCTTGTTGGGCGGTGCAGAGCTGCCCTGGCAATATGAGGGTCGATCAGACGAGTTGCTTACCGTAGGTGCCTTGACAGTACGAACAGTAGCCTTCAAGCGGAAGGTTGAACTGGTCGAAGCATTCAATCTCTTGCAACGTTTGCAGGAAGAGTCGAGACTGTTAGTTGATGAGCAGCGGAGTCTTCTGACGTATTACTCGGATCTGATTGTGGGTCTAGATAAGAGAATAGAACAACTCGACTCCCTCGACAGTAGGGCAGACGCCGAAGCTCCTGCCGAATCGGAGTTGGAAGGCCGACAATCCAGGTATTGGATCTCCGAAAGTCGACTCAAGAATGATAGGGATGCCCGGAACGGTTGCAGAGCGTTGCACGCACAAGCGAGGGCGGCAGCTGCGATTCGACTTCGAGAAGCTAAGAAGAGCTTTCCTCACGCGCTCGAGGAGGCCAGTGCTGAAGGAAGTGGTGCGTAAGAAAGAGTCAGGGAAGCGGCTGCCGGACTCCATCTTGAGGAGGAATTTGCGGAGGCAAATAAGGATCTCGAGGGGCTAGAGCTGGCACGCCTCCAGGCTTTGTCTTGTCACCTGGAGGCCGTAGACTGTTCATTGCTGGTTCATAGAGCGTTCAGGTTAGGCCTAACCGTTCATCAGCTTCCAGAGCTTACGGAAGATCTACTAAGAAGTGTAAAGTATTTTTCGGAGGAGGAGATCTCGAAATTTTTGAGTGCTTTAAGGAGCACTGGTGCAACCTGATGTAGGCCGGACAGATCCAAATGTGCACATAGGACGGACAAGGTACTAATCCATTGTTAACAACCATCACACTAGGAAACTCGGGTGATATCAATCATGATCTCTTTTTGGTGACTCATTGTATGTCTTGGCAGCTCTCAGGGTTGTCCGACCAATTGTTGAACTTATTCTTGAATACTGATGGCTCGCCGGGCATGAGGATTGGATGCAGTTATGCGCCGCGCATATGCTATATATAGTTAAAATTGTGCATCATATGCCACTGGCTATGGCATCATAAATTTCTTTGGTTATAATAGCTTGTGTTGGCATGCAATTCTCGGCTAGTGACTGACAAGCACGCATGCAAATTCTTGCATGAAATCAAATACAACAATATTGATCACCGATTCTTAATATTGATACGACTGCCGCGCACCGCGTGTGGCACTATCTTGGTGATTGCTCAATGAGAACGATCGGATAGTCGACAACGTATTAATATTTGCGTGATATGCTCCGTGGATCATCGGATTGATAACATAATAAGTTGATTGCCAAAGATCCATGCGCGCGGTTATTAGAATAGCACTAACTTAACCAATTATGACTTAAGCTAGCTTTGTGCAGAATGATCGGATTCATAATGAGACCGCACTGTTGGTCTACTTCGATTTTGAGACACAGCCTATATATATTTGCGAATAATCGAATTGATGCTTTGTATATGCAGATTCCAGATTGGCATGCATCATTATGGCAAGGCAAGCGCGGACAAATGTACAATTGCAACTTTATGGGTACTGAACCCGGTCAATTTGTAGTGTTTGGAAGGTAAAAGCCTGCTCGCGTGTGCGACTTCAAACACCATGCAACTAACATTGTACTTAAGTACGGATACTATGGTCCTTCACAAGTCCTTTACACTATTCTTGAATCGGAGACATGGGCCAAGCTTGTCCTTTCCAAACAGATTCTGCAGTGCATCCATGTCCAAAGCTTTGGCCGTCTCCTCATCGATGTAGTGCTTCCTAAGAGCTGTCAACATTGTCTCAATTACATCTTCGGGATACCGATCCGCCAAACCTTTCACCAGACCTTCAAGATTCGGCGATAATTTAAACGTGGTCGCCGGCTTGGCATTGGTTGCTTCGGGGGGCGTGTGCTCTTTGGCCCTATCCACATTCGATTTCGAGTCGGCCACCCCTTCAACCTTCACGTCAATCTGAGCCTCCGTTTTCATGGCCTTTCTGAAGTACTTCTTGTGCTCGTTCGTAAACGCCTCCCCCTTTGCGCCGGCGGAGGCGTAGAACCAACGAGTTGCCTGGTTTCCTTCCGTGGGGGTATGGACCATGAGGGAGACCGAACAGCCTAAAACTCGTAGCTTGTCAACCTCCCTTGTTGCGGCCTTCAACACAACAGGAAGGGCCGGAATTTTTGCCTTCTTCGACTCGTTCTCTGCTTTCTTTCGAGCAGCATTGTGGCTGTGAATGTCGTAGTTACAGCCTTGACAATGCGTCCTCCGGATGTGATTCTTGGTTTCGGTAGGGCAGCCGCCAGGGCGGGGGCAGGGGTTGACGGGAGCCTTCTTTTCAGGCTGCCCGCTCTTGCTTTCGGGAAACGCCTCCTCGTGTGCTCGCTTGCCTCGGGCTCCTGACGAATCTGCAAAGGAAAGGAGTGAGGAAGGTGCTTATGACCAGGGACCAAAAATAGAGTAAGCGTCATGACGGTCTGCCGATGTTCCTCAATTTCACCCAAGTTCTTTCGCGTAATCTTTCAAGGAGATTGATCAATGTCGAGTCTTAAATATACGAGACGCGCTGAGCGGACTTGCTTTAGCTCTCATATGATAGATGCAAAGAGTTATCTCCGTTCCAAGAGCTCATCACACTGAACCTCCTGTTGTAGTTTGTTTCACGCGCACAGAGGGACTCACGAAGCACGTAAGTTCTGACCCTTGAGATTTGAGATACATGCGGGCTAGACGGTTCGATGTTGAGTGATGTCTGACCTCTGTTCAGTCGATAACACCCTATGTCAAGTGCTGGCTATGCACAACAGTAACACGCGAACGTCAATGAAAACGAAGACAAGCGCAGGGACGTGGAACGCAAACACGGAATAGTATTACGAGTCACAGACAAGACTACCAGGGCAGACCTTGGTCCCAATTGAAAGACGAACCCAGTTTTGACCATGCATTTGTGTACGTATCAAAGTGGTCATTTGGTAAAAGCACTGAACGGCTCTATTGCGCTCCGAACCAAGATTTGCAGAGCCATCTCCGAGCGATAGCAACCGCAGATCGAAGGTGAGGGTGGGAGAGGATGCGTTGCTGAGAGCAACGCCGACGAGGGGTTTAAAAATTGAGCCCACTTACCATGTTTGCTGGGTGTGGCTTGAGAGCGCGTGTTTCGGCTCGGGCTGTTCACGAAGTCATCGGAGGCAGCTTTACGGTTGCTGCCTGGGGCTTTTCTAACAGAGCGTGGAGTCGAATGCAGTGCCGGATGCTCCGCGCGTGTTGCCTTACCGATAGGAGGCCCTTCTTCTGCTGCACAAAAGTAGGGACGCGATTATGGCCACGAAATGAAATCATTTCATGGAAGACGACATGTCAATTAATAACAATCAGGAGTCAAGTCCTTCCGTTTGTGAAAGATTTGCGTGCGAGGATGCTTCTTAAAGTTAGACATTTAGTGTCTTCCTTGCGGGACATGCCGTGGGCATTTACGGGCCACAGGATAGTTGGAGGCATCGCACAGCAGGTGCATCGTCACACGATACCTAGCAACAGACAATCACTTAGCCCATAATTGCTGCCAAAAAGCTGGCCGACTTTGATCTTGGCGACCAACCTGAGCCCGTTTGCTTTTCGGTGCTCTTTCAATCTCAAATACGAGAACCGTTGACTCAAGGCGTATGGGACGCAGCTTGTTGACGGCGCTCAACACTGGAATACATGATGCATCTTAAGCAGAACGACCGACAACTTTACAGAGTGACATATTCAAAACCAAGCTCGCCGTCTGATGTGCAGCATCAGCAAGCGCATTGCTAAAGAAAGCGCCTTTTTTGGAAACCACTCAAACGAAAAGCTGGCGAACGAAGGGGAGTCCAAAGAGGAAAGCAGAGTCAAAGCAGAGTCAGCCACCACGAGCATGGGTTCAACTCTGGAAAAGCAACCGTGGCAAACGACATGTCATACACCAGCCGAGGTTGGGGGTCAGCAGAAAGGGTAGCCTTCTTTACGTCATAAGCTTGAGCACGAAGCCATATTCTAATGTTCGACATTCAACGTGCTGAACGGACATATCCTCGGCAGCAGGATAGAACCAGTTCAAAGAGTCGCGGTCATGTTTTGCCTAGTGCTGATGACTCACTTAGCTAGTAGGTCTTACATGAGATCAACAAGGCAACTTGACAAGCCTTCTGCTCGAAGAAGCTAACAACACGCGTAGACAAATCAAATCAGGAAAAGAGGTCATTACAATGCAAGCCTACCTGCTTCAGGACACATGCCAACATTGTCTGCCGGGCTTTTGACCCAAAGTAGATGAAGGTAAATACAGAGAATCAAAGAAACGGCCAAACACGTTTCGAAAAGAGAAATCGCTACAACTTTCAAAGTCCACGCCAACCTGACTCACCAGTCTCGATCGGCGAAGCCTGAGTCTCTGATCGGGCTCTATGGACGGGGGTTTCGGGGAGGTCAGCTGCATGGTCTGGCACATGGCGCCCGGCGGGGGTCCCAATTGGCGACTGCGCAGGCGGTTGGGTACCTGAAAAACAAAGAGCTGCCTCCGATCAAGACTGTCCTGAGGCTTATTTGAATTCAAGCAGGGCCCATGATTTTCGAAGAGAGAAGTGGACGTAAGGAAGAAAATGGAATATCAATCAAAGCCAGGCCCTGCTCAAGAGAACCAGATTGAACTAGGCTCGAGATTTGCGAAGGTTGGAAAGCATACAAAAGCACTGCCCGGCGCTTAGTCTTAGGCAAAGGAAGAATCAGTCCCGAGCACTCATGTAGGCTCTTTGATGTCCAAGCAGTTTCGGTCGGTCCTTGCATCACCAGATTTTGGAGATTCTGCATGCGCTAGGCAGTCGCAAGTCCCACCTCCAGAGCTGCTGGTCCCTCTCCTATTGCTGTGCGGCGACCGCCTCGTGGATGCACCCTCCGAAGCCACGAACTCAGATCTCGTACGACCTGGCAGTAAAGGGTTCTAGAGAATTGGTACAAGAGGGAATGCACTTGAACTCTGACGTGCCTGAGGAATAGTGAGGTATGATATTCCACTTGCCGTCACTGAGCACGCGCTGTGCTGACCAGCAATGAGCAATATCTGACGAAAGGAAAAAAACCCTTGAACGGAACAGGTGCACAATATCAGAGGAAAGGCAGATTCTATGCCGAGAGCTTTGGATTTTGGAGAAACGCTGCACTACGCTGTGCATCCACAATAAACTTCGCAACCGAAGGCAAAGCAATTGTCGAGGCAAGTACATAGGCTTCTCTTTTTCCATATGGATAATGCATTTAAGGAGCTCTGGAATATGCCCCACTATGAAAGAGAAAGTTGCTCTGGATAGGATGCGGTGCCTCTCCAAAGCTTGAGCTTCAGTGGGCTCGAAACAATTGAATCACTAACAAAGACACGTAGACAATACAATCCTGATTGGCCGTCATGCAGGAACGGTGCACCCTTGGCAGACTTCCTCTGAAAGACCCCACCTTCTCAATGCAATATCTCTTCCTCTAGCTGGACCAGTTCATCAACACCTGCCACAAATAGCATATGCTGCATAATGGCGAGCTTACTCCTCAATTGAGCCAACTACTTTCTGGTGTTCCAAAGACCTGATCTTAGGATAGCAAATTGAGCCAATATAACTACGCCCCACCTTTCGCGCCCTTGTCCTGTCCTGCGGCATTCGAGGGGTTCGAGTCACCTTCTTTGGATCCCTCAGTATCCACTGCACGTCCAAACCAGGTTGTTGAGTCAGAAGGCCTTTCAATGTTGATTCGAAGAAGAAGCTACTTGGGTGCACAACCCCAATCTTAACCCCAGAATTTGGCATCCTGGCCCAAACGAGAGGAGTTGAGCACTCTTGCTTTGCGTGGAGGGAGTATGGATGCGCCAACAGGACCAGCATCAGCGAGTTCAATAACATCCAAGGAATACAAGACGTCCAGCCTCCTTGACCAGAATCGATCACACAACGTGGTGAATCCGTACACTTTCACCATTCACTACAGCCGGACCACTAGTCAAACAGGACCTGAATGCACATTCAAAAGTTCATTCAATGCAGACTTGTAAACAGCTGAACGCGCAAGATGCATATGACTTCGTTCGAAACCTCACCATCAACATTAGTCTTGGCTTTTGGGATCCTGGCGTGTTCTCCAGAACCCCATGCTTGTGCGAAAGGAGCCGGTCTCTCAGTTGACACCGAACGCTGGGCATGACCACTTGGGTGGAGATCGGGAGGATGATTGCTCTTTGTGGCATCGGGTGATCGATGTTCTGCAAATTGAGCGGGGACAGTCATCGTACCTCAACATAAAGCATCACGTACCAAATCCGCCAGATTCATCACCACTCGGTCAGCAATCCAAGAGGCAGGGGAATACGAGAGTGGTTGCAGACTGGGGCAAGCGAGTGGGCATTTGTCTGCTCAAATATACCGTAAAGCAGCACTCCTTTTGAAGATGACAATAAGGGTTTGCAGACTCAAAGCCAAGGCTTCTCTGATCTGGTCTTCCTCTGCAGAACAAGCGAAGAGCAAGTTCTACATTCTGTTGAATTTCTCAAGGCTCCGACTTCCACGAGGACAGTCAAAAGCAAGAGAGCAGACTGAAGATATGCTGCAAAGGCGCAGCGAGCGGAACAATGTGGAACTATTCAGGAAACAATTGTTGCAAGAGAGCATGCCTTTTATGCAAGATTCACAGACTTGGAACCTGAACAAGGGAAGGAAAGCAGATGATTGTACACAGGTTGGGGCTGCTGTGGCAGACACGCACCTGATCTGGGCACTTCCCGCCGTTCTCGCTTCTGCAACTGCTCATTTAAGAAGGATTCAAAGTGTGCATTGTCAAGGTGGGCGAGCTTTTTCAAGACAGCTCCATGCTTTGCAGATCTGAAAAGTCTGTCCGACAACTCCGACCATGGGTCAAAGTTGTTAAGCGTGATCAGCTCAGCCCATGACGCAATCTCCTTCTCCTCAGCATACTGTAGAAGAGCTGTTCCAAACTCTGGGATAGACAGATTCTGCCCTTTTGTGGGTACGTTTCTGCGGAGAAGGTTTGGGTACTTATTGCTTTTGATCTTGAGCCCTTTCCAATGCTGCTTCAGAGCTGTCTCTGTATGCTGAGTTCCTCCAGGATCCATTCTGAAAGGCCTGCATGAGATGCTCTGGGCAGCAGACGTGCTCAAGAGTCAAGAACTTGAAGGACAATGTCAGGCCTCCTGTCCCCTAGCTGCTTGCTACCCCGTAAGCCCTAAAACGCGACCGAGTGCCAGATTGAAGAGCCTTGCAGTGAAGTTTCAAGTTCCAAGGCCCAGCCTGCGGAAAGGCTGAGGCAGGGCCAATGGCAAGGGTGCCAGCTGACAGTAACAGCGGGAGGGCGGCCGGCAATGGCGGCATATGGACATTTTATCATATGCCTATGACGGCCGTTACATACCGCTAAGACCGCCGACTCATACTGAGTATGGACCAAACGTCATGACTTATGACCGACACCGCATATGGCAATATGAGGTTTTGTTCATAATATCGGTGAGACTGGGTTGCCAATGTACTGCAATCCACACGGTCGCGGCGCGCAATTCTTTGTGGGTCAAAACGGTCGCTTCGGGTCGTCCTGCACGGTCGATATTAAGCCCTGCACTGCCGATCGGACGGCGCAGATACCTCGCTGTGGATATGTTGCTGAGCCCGGGGCCCGCCGGGCGGCAGCACACCGGGATGCACATATTCGCGCCGGCGGCAGCCAAATTCCTTCATAGACTCTATTGAATTTCTCATACCAATATGGAACTTTTGTCATTGACTTATGGCTTCAATACCATTTCCGAGATTTGGGTAATAGGTATGAGAGATTCCTCATAAAATCTGTGAGGCCATGGGTTGCGATCATGGTCGTCGGAAACAGACGCGGACGCGTGTCCTGCCCGGCGCGGCCGGGACTTTGAGCGCGGCACATGCAGATCGGGCGAATGGCTGGCGGACAATTGGCAAGCGGCCAGGGCCAGCCGCCAGGCTCCTTGCACGGAGCGTCAGACATACCGTACAATTGTCTTCAGCGTCCGACACGGAGTTTTGATTTCGCTGGCTCCTAGGCCGACTAGTGCTCCGGTCAGTCGCCTGGAGGCTTGAACCGATCGGCTTCTCCCACCCAAATACCCCAGAAAGACCCCGGTTCTGTCGACTTTTTGGCCGATGCCCCTCGGTTCAGGCGGCCGAGAGGCAAATCCGTCGGCTGACTGTGACCGTTGACGGCTCGTCTCGAACACTGATTGTCGTCTCTCCACTGTGAATCAGAATCGTGATTGGCAGAGCCTGAGCCTGAGGTTCTCTCTTCGTTCTGTTTGCGCTCGACTCGGCCAGGCTAGCCCGGCTAGGCCCTAAATTGCCTAATAAAACGGGAATACGGTATAGGTATTATGTACCGTACCCCTGCCATGGCCCTGGGCTGCCGCGCCTCAGTATACGGTAGGTATCCTGACTGACTGAATCCTTGGACCTTCAATGGGCTCTGGCCTACAGTTTGGCACAGTACCTACCTTTAAACCTACAATTGGCGTTCTTGGCGTACCGTACGTTTAGGGGTGGACCATCGTGTATCTTCGAGCACCATTACATTATAGGCCGGTTCGGTTGGAAATGCTGACGTTGTCCAACGGAACCGGTCTTTACATGGCAAAGTTGCGGGCCCTCGCGGTTCGCGGCCCGATCGGCGGTCATTGCCCCCCAAAAGTTCGAACAATCTCCCAAAATCGAGGAACCGCGAACAGCGTTGACCAAAGGACCTCGAGGCTCGGGTAGGTCCTTTGGTCAACGCTGTTTTGGTTCCTCGATTCCCGGAGCTTGTTGTGGTCTGATGTGGTCCGGCAGTGCAGACCGGAACACTTGCATGGCAAGACTCAGACGACGTCACTGTTCTCCGGTAAAACTTCTTTTCGCAAGAGGGGGGTCGGCACTGCTCCGGACCGAGCCAGCCCAGGCTTTGGAAGGCCCAACCGGCGCCGTTGGCTTGATGACGTTTTTCCAACCGAACCGGTCCAATGTAATGGTGCTCTTAGCCCCGTGAATCTGCTTGGCCGCCATTGGCATTGGGTCCTCTGTCCCCTCTCTGTCCTCGATCGGACTTCACCAGGCGATACGCCTCCCTACTTGAGGTCATTTCGAACTTGAGGCAGCTGTTCTGACGCTTCAGGGGGTGACGTTTTGGTCAAAACGGTATAGCTACAATTTGTGCGCGCTCTCACTGTAGGGGCACTGTAGGGGGCACATCGGCCCGCACACTTGAATGATGAACCTTGGAACCGCCAGTCCATCCGGATGATCCCGATGCCATTCCAGTGACGTCCTCCCGGCTTCCTGCTGCAAACAGTTCTGATATGCTTCTTTTCCAGCAGATGCTACGTTAGCTACATACGAAGCAGCTATCAACCACCATGGCTTCCATGCAGCTACTTCAATTTGTGCTGTCTGCCGCGCTGCTTTTCTCCTCATCATGTGCACAGCAGCTGAACCCACCTGCCATTTTTTTGGCAAATGCCACAGTCCTTCCTGCTGCAGACAGCACTAATGCTTCTCTTCCGTCAAATGCTATTTTGACCATTTACAGAGCAGTGCGGTCTCAGAATCTAGGGCTTCTGGGTGCACTATTAAATGTTAATATAAGTGGGTTGGCAAACTATCTGGCACTTGATGTTCAGTTGGTGCTTCGCAATACAACAGCCCCGATCACGTGAGTCTTCTACCGAATCGGCCCAGGGTCTTTTTTGTGCACATCCACTTGTTGAACTTGTTTAGGTGCAAATGAGAGCAAAGTTCAATCCAGCGGCACTTCTTGTCTCAGGAGCCACTGTAGAGTACACATGTATTGCCATATTGTTTGGTTTGCAAGTTGCATGTCACTTCATAGTGCCAGTTTCTTGCCAGATTGGCCAAGGACCAGCTTTGCTTTTTCTGGTGGCAGGTTGTCCAATGTCACCACTCTCCTTTCTTTCTTTGCCCTCCTTACACCGCCAGCGGGCTCCAATGTAACTGTGAACAATGTCTCGGAGCTCTACTTCTACTTCATTGACAGCACAAACGTACTGACTGTCTCGCAAGTAACAGCTGGACAGGTGAGATTCACCACACCTGCTGAAGGTTGCGGGAATGGTGGGTGGCCAAAGTTGAGGTCTTCAAGCTAGAAATAGCGGCCCGAGCTGAATAAAGCCTGTACCTTCTTGAAGTCCTGGCAAGTTGCCAGAGTGGGGAAAGATTACTAGCTCACATTTCGAGACGCAAAGAAGTGTTCTGCGGGTTTGTGGGGAATCAACAGAGGAACAAAAGGTTGGCAACTGAAGGAAAAGGGGATCAATGGCTCTGTATGTTTCCTTTGCGTATTTGCATTCAGAGCCATTATTGCTTCAGACGTACCTAGACGACGAGCCTGTACACCCCTGCACACCTCTACGAGGTCGACATTGGACAGGGCTCATGGCCCAAGATTTTTGTTAGAGGAGGTCAGAGGGGAGGTTTCGGATTGTACAATAATCTCTGATCTTTTTGTTGAGACTTGCAGGTTTGTACAATCTCATTTAGCTCTTTGTGGAAAGGGTGTGCAGGTCCTACTCCGAGAAGTGCGCAAAGTCGTTGGTTCCTTTAGATCTGCCAAATGCAGGGTTCTAAGACAACTCATTCTCATGTCCAATACCAGGTTCTGTTTCAAGCTTCACGGGCAACACGCCTCAGATTCTCAAATTCAGATTTAAATGCAGATACTGGGGAAAGGCATGTTGAGAGCAGCCAAGGTTATTGTGTGGACTGGGATAATTCTGTGTTCAGTGGGTCTGGTCAGAGTCGCTCCCTTTTAAACCAAGTTTGTCCGTCACTTGCCAGATTGACGACAAGGTCTTAGAAAGGTGCCTTTCTGACCATACTCTCTGTTATGCAGCTTGGCAACGTCTTCCTCACCAGCTTCTGGCAACTGCTCAACAGCACCACCTCTCCCAACGGTACCTGGACTGTCGCCTATGTCAGCATCACTCCCGCTCCGAGCGGTCCCTTCATCCCTCAAACCACCCCAGTCTTCGCGGCCACCCCTAATGTCACCATTTGGAGCACCATCGGTAGTGGCATGGCCACTTTCGTGAATACCAGCATCCCTGCAAATGTCACTATTGAAGCGAATGTCATTGTTGCCTCAATTGGTCTCCAAGCAGCCCTCAGCGATGGCAATCTGAGCCCTGCAAATGTGGCCAACCAGTACTTCGCCCCCTTCTTCCGAGTGGTGCTGCCAACCCTCCCAAGCCCTACATTGTGAGGAAGAACTGTTGCATCACCCCATCTGCAACTCAAAAAGTTCTGCTTGATTTGTGAAGTTCCAGAAATGTTGTGGTTATAAGAAGCAACACTCTGAGGCAAGCGAGAGTTCTCAGCACGCTGAAATATTGCATCTTGTGATGGTCATGCTGCTTTTCCAGGTCTTGACAGAAGTCTTGGTTTTAAAAACTTTTGCAAAGGCAATGATGAAGAGGGGGCTTTTTCTCCGTCTCTGTCAATTAGATGGTGAAAGAGAAGCCATGATTTCGGTGTTCTGGTCTCAAAGTTCAATGGTTTTTGCATACTGCTGTGTCGCAAAGGCGGTTTTGATGACTTGTCCAGTGCACATCGACTTGTGTTTTCTGTGGCAGGCTCAATCTGACAGACCCCATCATAATTACTTTCTTCGACTTGCTGCGCGGCCGCAACGCAACCGGCAATGCTTCTCCGCAGACCGTCGTCTCGTACAAGCAGTTGAACATCCAGTCGGCTATCTTGACAACCCTGGTGCCTGCTCTCCCTTCGGTAAGGGCGCAGACTGCAGGCAAACGTTGGACAAACAATCAGAGTTCAAGACGCGACTGCAGACTTTCCTTGTTAGTTCTTTCCTTTATGTGTTTGTATGTCTACAATAATGCTTTCATGACTTGCTCTGAAGGGGCCCTGGAGGTGCCCATTGTCTGCCACACGTCTGCTCTCAAGGTGGCCTCTATTGAAGTTGGTCCTGATGTCGTTCCTCCGCATACACTTTCTACAGAGAGACAATAACCCGGCTCGCTTGATAAGCAGTGTACGACGGCAAACATTTGAGATCCAGAGTTACTTTCATCTTACAGGACTGCAATCCAGAGTGCGGCAATATAAAGTGTGTCTTTCTGCTCCTTTTCACAATCACGGTGACGCTGTGCACAATATCAGAGGAAGGATTGGTGGAGCTAATTCCAAAGGCCCGTTTTGCGAAGTAGAGGCCACTGACATGTGCGTCATGTCCTGCGCAGATTGGTGACGTATATGTCATACAGCTATGGCAGGTGCTCAATGCCTTTTCCAACAATACCACCGCTCCCCTTGCTCGCTTGCAATTGACCTTCATCTCAATGAATCTTGCACCACCAGTCGAGTGCACCCAGTACAGCAATAGAACCCCTGACGTCTCCTCCTGCCCTTGTTACAACGGTTGGACCCTTGCCCCAACCCCCAACATCCAGTCCACCTGTTCCAGAGCCTAGTTTGACCACCCAAGCACCTGCTCCAAGTGCGGTCCCTACTCCTGCTCCAACCGTTACAGCAGTCAATGTTCAGCCTTCTCCACTTTCGGTTCCACCTATTCCAGAGCCTACGATCAGCCTCACGCCTGCTCCAAGTCGGACTCCTATTTACACTCCAACTCCTACAGCAATTAGTGTCCAGCCTTCTCCACGTTTGGGCAATACGTCTGAAACGTCAGATTCGGGTCTGGGGTTGGGGACCACTGTTGGCATCTCGTTGGGAGCAACGGCAGTCGTCTTGGGTGGTTTGCTGGTAGGTGCGTGGATATTTCCGTCTAGGAGGAAGAGGAGGCACGAGCCGCCAGGATTGCCACCGGTCACAGACCACGACACCGAAAAGGACGCCGCTGTCGAAAGGGGTGTTGGCAAGGTCTCTGCAAAACCTAGGCAGGCCTCCGGTGAGTACAGTGTTGTCACGGGTGCTGGTCAAAGTGACTTCAAGTTTAGTAACTTCCAGTCTTTCTTTTCAAACATCTTCGTTTGTCCTGCTGGGTCCACTTCAGAACTAGCTCTTGATCCGGTTGTAGAGGATTCGGACCCAAGAGGTTGGAGATGAAGCAAAGAGGAAATTTCTTATATGTGAGATCTCTGCTGACAAGAGGGATCGCTAGGTTTCTGGACATGTGGGCCATTTGTACCCCTGAGCTCGGTCATCGATGCTAGTGGAGATCAGTTACCTTTAGTACAGCAGATTTGTGAAGCCAGTGTCTGAACCGTCAAGAGCTGCTGACTGAGGGGGTTGACAGTACCGTTGTTGAACGTTGAAGTGTTGGAGTATCAAAGGAGACCTTGGCGTCGATGCTACATCATACTTTGTGTTGTTGGAACCTACTCGCGAAATGTTATGGGTTCTTACTAGAAATTACTGAAGGCCGCTTGCATTCATATCCAGATCCCTTTACTGATGAGGAACCCTTCTGGCTCTGTTCGACGATGTTGAGACGGCCGGAACTATATATTGACGTTTTTCCGAGCTATGCCTGCAGCAACTGCCCAAGCACACGAAGCGACTCTGGGGCTCATACGCGTTTTCACCATTCGAGAACTCCGGAAAGCAACCGCAGGCTTCTCGGAAACGACGTTGCTAGGAGCTGGCGCCTTCGGTCGGGTGTATAGAGGCACCTTCGCTGATGGAAGCTTTTTGGCCGTCAAAGAGTTGAGGAAGGGAAGAGGGGTGAGCCCAGTTTGCCTCCACGTTTCTCTTGTCTGCATCTATGGACACGTTACTCATTTGTCTTCGGGTTGCTTACGCAGGAATTACACCTTTTCTGCATCCTCAGCTCAAAGAGATCAATTACAGGACTTGCAGACCAAGCTCCTTGTTTCCTCCGCTTCCGGCGAGATCTGTAATACAATTGATATTGAAGCTTCACCATGCCAGGTGTTCATACTTGTGCCGTTGCCTTTCAGGGGTTAGGTCAGCAAGAGTTCTTGACAGAGCTAGCAACCATTGCTCGTGTAAGGCACCGGAATTTGGTGGCGCTCCGAGGTTACTGCATCTCGCCTAAGGCGTTCTACCTCGTCCTGGACTATGCCCCGAACGGGAATCTGTCGTCCGCTCTGAGCAGTGGTGAGGACTCTCCCCTGATTGTCACCCTTTTTTAAGACTCCGTCGCTTCAACCCGCCTCGTCTTCTCCCGGGAAGTCCGTCAGGAGGCCATTCTTCGCACCGTAAAGGTGCATGCCTGGACAGGCGCTTTCTGCTTTTGAACGCTGTGATCCGGGCTGGACCTGTTTTTGCGTGCAACAGAGGGCGCTTTCCTTCAAGCGCTGTGAGTTGGCCCTCCTTATCGAGAGCACATGTTTTGGGTGGATCTCTTAACGACAGATGTTCGCGCTTACAGCCTGCCAAGACAGCCTTGCTGAAGGGCATTGATTCGACCGGTAAAAAATGTATCCCTACAACAACATAGTCGGCGCATGGATAACTAGCTGCGCTGGATTTCTCTGCTGCTCTGCTCCGGCTGCTTCCAAAGGGTTGGGAGACGTCTTTGTCTCACCTCTTATAAAGCGTTTGCAGGCTCTAGCACGGCCCTCACCTGGAGTCAACGTCTCGTTATTGCAACGGGTTCAGCACGCGGCCTTTCGTACCTCCACAACGATATGGCGCCTTCAATTCTGCACCGTGACATCAAGTCGGCCAACATCCTTCTGGACCAGAATATGGAACCGCTTGTAAGAAAGGGTGTTCGAGGCCCGATCTTATGCATTTGCTGCCGTTTAATCTGCTTTGAGCTGAACGATTGAGTCTTCTTGCAAAGCTGAGTGTCACTCGAGCATATTTACAGGGCTTGTCTATCAAACTCTCAAATGTCTGGGGCTCCAAAACAACCAGGCTCCGCCGTCTAGGGGCCAGGACAATGCTCAGCTTTCAGGAAAGGCCTTCCGGATTCCTCGCTTCTGGTTCCAAATCATCCCTGTATAAACATCCAGGTTTTACTCCAAACCCGCAAACGGGCATGGGAGCAACGTCTTACGTAAATGCACGTTCCACCGGGTTACTCTGAAGGATGCTCACGAGCTAGAGAAGCAAGCTAGGTTGTAAGAAGAGCTCTCTAAGTGAGTGGCACCTGACCGTTCCATGACTTGCGCGCGATGCTTGCAGGGTCGCTGTTGCCTACTAGCGAGTTCTGTAGCAAGCTTGCTTACGGCTTAGCGTGACGATCACACAACTTTGCGTTCTGCACCTGCAGGTAGCCGACTTCGGGCTAGCGAAGCTTTTGGACGAGGGCAAAACACACCACAGCACAAACGTACGCGGCACGTATGGTCATGTGGCCCCGGAGTACGCTCTTTACGGCCAGGTATGCGAAGCTCTTTTGTTGTCTGCTCGTATGTGATCTCAGCAAGCGTCAAGACAGAACCCTTGCAAGGCTGTAAAGAGCTGTGATCCCTTGTAAATGCAGGCTGCTTGACTCTTGCGATGGTTTCAATCATTCAAATGAAGGTCGAAGGAGTGACTTGTGACTTTGCTTCTCAGTCGTCTTGGAAGGGTTGGTTCGCTCGACTTGATAGCCCCTGACCTTTCAAAGGAAAGGGCGTTGACGCCATAGCACAAATGGTGCCCTGTTTGACTCAGCGTGACCACGTGCCAATTCTAGGATGCCTTGTCAGGGAAGCACTGAGCGGCCATAGAATACATCCGGAACCAATCATACTTCCTCATACTTTGGATCTTAAGCGGCTCCTGCCTGGGCTACCGATGGCCTAAGGTCCGTTGAAACCAATTGTGCATGTCACAGGTCACGAAGAAGAGTGACGTGTACAGTTTCGGCGTCGTCTTGTTGGAGCTGCTCACGGGTCGCCGCGCCGTTGAGACAATGCCAGACGGGGGGCGCTCCAACCTCGTAGATGCGGTAAGTGGTGACTATTAGCTGGACGGTCGCACTCATCAGAAGACGATTCGTAGCATGACTAGCTTGCTGAAATATTGTCTCCCATGCCCCCTACTGACCATGTAAGGGGTTATGATCTAACCCGAAGTTGCTGCCTTGCGGAAGCTTCAAGTCAGTGCGTTCCTTGAGAAAATTCGAACGTGATAAAGAGTGATGCTCGAGCGCTTAGAGGGACTACAGAACGGCACATTGTGCTGTGGGATCAAGGAGAGCAAGAGGACTTTTTAAGAAGAACCCTGCTGTCTATCGGAAAAGTAACAGCAAATTCGGTGCTGCCTCGTTTTCATATTCCTTAAGGTGCCTCGAGATGGGAGAGGGCCCACGTTTTAAAGTCCATTTTCAAAATCTCTGTAGAATTTGATGGGAATAGTCCTTCGTGGCCGCATAAGCGGGATTCATCCCGCCACGCATATGGCTCCCATCAATGGAGCCTTAATGTTCTCAACTAAACCGACAGCAGCCAGTAAAGAGAGCAGAGACAGGTCTCTTAAGTAGGTGTTGTATCCCGCCCTGATCTTGAGCTTCGCCGGCACATAAACGACGCAAGCGCATCCATTCCTTTTCGTGTATCAGGTGGCCCGCCAGTACCATCGACCTCTGGTTGTGTTGGACCCCCGGCTTCGCGGCCAATTTCCAGAGCAAGCGTCAGCGCAATTGGTCGTTTTGGCCGTTGCGTGTACTGCTCGAGAGGAGGCCCACCGACCGCACATGTCGCACGTGTTGCGGGAGTTGGATGACATTAGCCAGACTCGAGAGTCGAACATCGAAAATTACGAGGAGATAGGAAGGGAGAGTCGTGAGGATTGGTTCGGGCCTGCAGCGCGGGCGAGCGATGCTCCCGGGTACTCAAGTACCTCGACTGATTCGTGGAACCGGCAGAGCAGGTCAAGCGGGTCTGGCGGGCAAATGGACAGCATGACGTATCGAATGTCAATGATGAGTCAAGGAAGGTGAGTGTTTAGACAGGAACTTTCTTTCTTTCCTTTTTAGGGCATGGTAAACTTACATCAGACGAAACGACTAAGGGACGGCCAGGGATCTGAGAATGGCACAGCACCATGCAGATTGGATGCTCAAGAACAGGGCCTCAGTGAGAGGCAAGCTTCACAAAATCCAGCTCACGAATCCTAGTAATGCGTCCCAGACCTGGCGTATAATGAGCACAACGTGCGAGCACATTCCTTGTCGAGCACGTTCCTTGACAACGACCGGAACTTGACTTTGGCCAGACGAGTCGAACCCAAACTCTGTGCAAGAAGAATCTAGCATCACGGACTTGTGCCCTATCAGTCAGACGTCTTGTGGATGGGCATGCCTACTTAATAATGTTCGATGAAAATTTCGTATTCGCTTGAGAAGCTGCACCCAAGAAGCTCGGTGACTGAGACAGAATAGAAGCGGCAGGTTCACATACAACGTAGCTTCCATGGAAGTTGGTAACACCGTCGTTAATGCGGATTGATCACACCCGGCCACCACCCAACCTCAAGAAGCTAAGAAGAGGTAAAACACGAACATGCAGTGCGGAAAGTGTAGAGGTAATTCAGCGACGGGCCATTCTGCTCTCAATCGGAATAGACACGGACTTCAATGCTGAAATGCTTTCATCTGCATATGTTGGCTTGTCGATCAGACTATACCTATATATGGCGAGGGCGCGCGGCCTGCATGGAACTATGTTCACATGTGTGTATGTATAGTCAGCTATCGATACATCATACATGCACTGATATACACAGTACACGCAATCAACTTAATCCGGCCAGAGACTCCGAATATATGCACGTACGCGCTTGGAGTGACCAACTTAAACGTGCGTACATCAAACGTTTTTTAACGGTACATTTATCTGCAATCGTTAGCATTGATCGATGCAAGATGAGTCAGCCCTAGCAAATCAATTCTTTCGTGGTTCCTGACCATCGCAACACGCAAAGCAGTAGATTTACTGAAGTCATCTTTGAGCAATGGTCACAAGCTGCCCTGCCGCCGCCCGCGCAATGAGTAACTACAACTTTTCTGTGTTAGCCACGTCCTCACGAACATACTGTACGGGCGGCAATATTACTTGAGGCTCTGTAGCAAAGATTTACCGAGGTGGTCAGATACAGGGCCTTCTCTGGATACTACTTCAAGTTTTTCAAATCATTATAAAGTTTGCGAGCAACTTCCGTGTATGCAATACATGTTGAGGTCAAAGTCTACCTTACACTGTTAGCAACTTTGATCGCGCCCTACTTTACAAAAGAGATGTGCACCTGTACCTTACTCCGCCTTTACATAACTAGGGTCTCGAACGATGTTTCCTGAATCAACCTGCGCAATGATGTTCGTCATGACCTTGAATCCCCCTTCAAAGTCTTCTAGCAGTGCGTACTCGTTCTTGGCATGATACGTCGACATCACCCCATACCCCATCGTCTGGACGTCGAACCCTGCGTCCTGCACACACACCCACACGAAGAATGCAGTCAGCTTCAAAGCTCGAAAGCTCGAGCAGACTGCTGGCCGCTGTGCACAAGCAAGCCTTCTGCAGTACTTCGTGATTGCAAGGGCTCACTTCATCCTGGTGGGCAGACACACTTACTGGATCATGGGCGGTTTTAACAGACTGGACCATCGCCGGTTCTGAAATGCGCGCGTCCCTTTACGACTGTTGTGCTAGGTCTTGCCAGCACTTTCGAAGCTCTTTCTGCCATCAACGAGCACTCAGTATGAGGCCAGAAGATTGCTGCGCTTAAGAATCCGTTACAATCCAGGCGCAGCTGCTTGATTGAGTTTCGAGTCGTTTGAGGACAAGAGACGTGCCTGAGATTTTGCTGGTTTTTCGCAAAATGCAATCTGAAATATGCGCTCGGGGCTGCATACCTGCAGTTCCCGGATGCAGGGCAGGGAGCCGGTGATGGAGTACGGCGTTACTTTCCCGAAAACGGCCTTGGTGGCGTTGCACAGCGCGAAGAAGCCGGGCGAGTCCAGCCGGCACGCCACGCCGGACATCATCATCTCGTCGAACGACAGCTCCACCCTGCAACGACAGCCCGACGAAGCTCATGTTCTTATCAAAAGTAGCATCGGGGGACCGTACCAGTAGAGTCAAGGGCTGTCGGTCGCCCACATATAGGACACTCAACCCGAGGTTCCAGAAGGCACGCACTCATTAAGGAATGCTTTTCTCTGACCAGAACGGGACCGACAGTGCTTACAAACCCTTCCGGAACCGCCTCCTGATTGAGGCATAATTTCCTGTCGAGCAACCGACCACCCCCGGGTTGTGCAACGCGCGTGATAATCCGGGGCCTATCAAGCAATGCTCAGACTTTTGACACAATGACAGTGTGTGACAGTGTGACACATTATGTGTGTGTGTGGTGTGTGAGTGCGTGTCTGTGTGACACGCCGCGAAAGGAGAACGAGTTGCGGGTGCTGACCTGCCGCGCAGGTTTTCGTCGGGCAGCTCGTACTTGGAGACGGGCCCGTGCGTGGGCAGCTGCCCGAGGTTGGCGTTGATGTCGTCCACGTACTGCTTGATGCGGGCCACCACCTCCGCCACGCTGCGCACCAAAACGCCGTGTCGTCTTTATAACCAAGATTTGCGTCAACCCTCTGGGACGTGTGTGCGTTGCCGTCGAGAGCAACGGTCCGGAAAGCAAGGACAGAACAGCAGCGGAATCGAAGCGGCATCTGGGCCTCGTCGTCTCAAAGCAAACATTGGCGTCAACCCTTTAGGACCTGTGTTGCATTGCCGTCGAGACGAGCAAGCCAGGAAATATGGACGCCAAAGCGATTGCCATAAAGCGGCATCTGGAGGTCTCTCCGTGGCAGGAAGAATCACAAAATCGTCCTCGATGGGGTGCAAATGACAGACCGTTGTAAAAGACTGCGAATACGGATACTGCAAACACGGGAGCCGGGCCTGGGGCTGACCGAACGAGCTGACAAAGCCTTTTCGACGTACGTCTTCCTTCGCACGCGGTGCATACCTGTAGAAAGGAGTCACTCGGATGTCGCCGCAGATGGTCATCTCGCCAGGGATCTGGTTCACGCTGCCGCCAGGGTCTGCGCAACCGCAGCCATGGTCGGTGGTCAGACAAGAACTGGTTAACAAGCTTCAAGGAGTGTCGCCTATGTCGGACTCATGCGAAATTCCGAAGCTATTGATCGGCTAACTGGCATTCCAGAGGACATTCGCACAACATTTTTGCGGAATGCTTCGGCGCTGGCAGCGTGTCAAAAGCTCGACAAGGGCTTTTTCGTAGCCACGTGGCACTCACAGGAGACCTGCGTGGGCTTGATGGTGGAGGGCGTGACAAAGCCGTAGCGCCCCTCCATCGGGTGCACCGGAAAGTCTTGGTAGAAGCGCCGCTGGATCTCCGAAAGCGCCTCGAATCCCAGCTCGATCGGGTTGATAGCCTGCGCCATAAACGAAGTTATATGAAAACCTCAAAGCAACTCAAATTCCGGACCCACAGCTCGACGTGTTCCAAAACAACCCTGCTGGTACCTCATTAAGGGACCCTCCTGATAGAGCAGAAACTAGTAAACTTGTGTGCAATAAAGCGTGTCAACGTAATGCTAGCAAATCTTGTTCACCAACAAAGGTCTGCAGATTTTCACGACTCTGCTTCGCTGCTCTTCGGACCGTCTACGAGGACCTTGACCAGAAGTATGACACACACACTCCTTTATGGCACTGCTGACAGCCGGGCCCGCGGCCGGCCAGACGGTGGCTATCACCTTGTGTGCGAGGCCGCTGTGGAAGAGCTTGCCCGTCGCTTTGAGGCGCCAGGCCGCCATGCCGCCCGTCCCGATGCACGGCTGCTTGTCAGCCGTATCCACCCAAAACCTGCGCGCAACCCACACAACACAGCAGGGTTGCTCAAACAGGCCACCAGCTGGAGCCATCTTGAAGTAGAGAAAGCTGGTAAGTGTGAGGCGCAGCTGAGCGCAGACGCCGTCTTCACGGAGCTGCTAATCATGAAAGAAAGATCATGAAACAACGAATTTGGTTGGGTAGAAGAAGCCGGAATTCAGCGCAGAGGGCTGTCCCTTGACACTGAGATTCAGGAAAAAGACGGCTTTCAAGGACAGTGCTCGATTCCTGGCAAACGGTACAATTCAATCCAAAACCGCCAAGAGATAAGATGCTTGAGATTATCCCAAAACGGAGCAATAAATCAGGCTTCAAATGCGAGACTGCACAGCACTTCAGGGCGCGGCGGCTGCAGGGGCCTCGTTGCTTGGAGGTGGGCGCGCCACTGACGCCCGGCCACAGGAGCCAGGCATCCCTCGCAACCCCGCACTGCAGCCCCGGACCGTTCAGAGACACGACCCGCTCAACCCTCGGACACAGGCTTTTCAGAGAGGGGAAAAGCCATGAAAAAAGCCCTGGGTGCCCTTATGAGGGGGCGGGGGGCCCTGTCCCCCCTGGCGGGGGGAGCAAGGCTGGCCAAAACCTGACCACTTTTTAGGGTTTTAGAATGCCAGGCGAGAACGCCTGCATTGAACCGCGAGGAGGGAAGAGCGCACGGTCGGCCTTTGGCTCACATCATCAGTGCTGGTGGACAACTCGCAGAAAGGGCTGGAAGCAGCACACGGTTCCAAACCTAGGAGTTTTTACGCGGAGGAGTCTTGGGGCTGACTTGGACACTTTCGAAGGAAAACACGACAGAAACATCCTCACTGGCGATTCTGTATAACAGCTTGTTATGTTCGAGTCAAAGGGATCCTGACCTGGGGGGGCATTTGAGCAAAAGTTGCGCAGTCGGGGAAAATCTTCAATCGAAGAGCTGACCTTTGACTCGCTAGCGTCAATAGCATGATTGCAAGATCGCAGTAAGTGCCGGGTCAATCGTAAAGCAGACTTGAGGCTTTAGATCCTGTCCCGAGCCGTAGGATCAGAACCTTTTCGAAGCACTCACAGGGGCCCTCCTTTGAGCTTGTCCAGCAGCCCCTTTGCCACCAAGGCGTCCACACCAATCCCCAGGTCCGTTGCGTTCTCCTCATTTGCGATGAAGACGCCAACAACAGTTGGCCGCAGCTTCGGCTTCTCAGTACCCAATTGTCTGCAAAAGGAACGATGTTCTGGGGCACAGAAGGTGGCGGAATTTGGAAGAAAATTGACCGTCAAATGATCTAGAAAAGAGCCATGAGCAACACAGCCTATTATCGGAAATCAAAGAGCACTCACGTCATCAAGTCTTTCTGGCTGTCTGAGAATTGTGTCAACTTTCAAGCTTTGTTCCGTAGCTCGCCTTTTGTTTGACTCGTCTGTGAGCAAGCAGAAGGTATTCGGCCATCTCCCAGCATGATACTGATGAGTGACTTCTAACAAAGAGGGTCATACACACAGGGGCTTTGCAGGGGTGGTGGAGCTCCTGATTGCAAGGGTGGACCAGAACCTGTAATTGCAGCCCTCCCGATGATTTTACCTTTATTCTGCGGGTACATGTTTCTTATACTTCTCTATGAAGGGGAGTGGCGTTGACATGTCGACTATAAACATGTCCCAGCAAAGCCTTAGGAGGAGGAAAAAGCAGCGACTGCCCAGGCAAGCTGTTCGGGCCAGCAAGCAATCCATCCTGACCTGAACAGCTCCGTCAAGAGCGCCACATGCCCCAGGCAATCAGTGGTGCCCCTCCCTCTGAGCTTGTTGCCCTCAACTGTCAGGGTGAACGGGTCAAAGTCCTGCCACCACATTGAACAAGCTGATCAGCCACTGCAACTTTGCATCACATGTCAGGATCTCCAAACATAATTGGGGACCACTTATCTTGGCCCAGACACTAGCTGTTGATGTCAGTGAACCGCTCAGATGAAAGAACAATGGGCAATCTAGGACCAGTGGGCAATTGCCAACACCAATGTACTACAGATGGCGTCCTGCAACGTGAGCAGACGCAACAAGCAATTCAACACGTCTCAACTGGCGGCATCAGCGGATGAGCAGTTGTTGCGCACCCAATCTTCCGGGTTCGCAGTCACTACGTCCAGGTGGCAGCCCACAAACGACATGATTTCGTTCTCGTCTGTCCCCGGGTACTCGACGATGATGTTCCCCCGCCCTTCCGCATAGCTGACATGCTGCACCGACAGCACGCCGCCCTCCTCAGTGCTCAGTGGCTGAAGCACGTCCAGCACATGGCGCCCCGCACGGTCCTCCTTAGGAATGTAATCAGGGGGGTTGTTCTGCAGGAACTTGACCTCCCCAATCAGCTTCCGCAGCAGCTCCACGAACTTGTCCTGGTCCAGGGACAGCGATTCCAGCGCCATGCTTGCAGGGAAGACTCCGAAGAGCGTTCTTCTCTAACGAAAGCGTCTGTCGATCGAGCAAAATAGATTTTGCACGTAAATAGAGGTAACTTCCACGACGGAAATTGACCAGATTTTAATGTAGGTATATTTAGATGCCGCCCGGAGAGCTAGCAAACCCATGAGCAAAGAAGCCTACAGGTAGCTCATGGCGGACGGTCAACCGGGCTCATGAGTCAAAACTGCGCATAATACGAGAGATTTATAGGCATCAAATGCCAACCTTTGCCGTGTGGCAATCCGAAGCCTGAGGAATGATATTAATCACCCTTAAAAATTCGCAGCAAGAAGACAAGAGAAGTGGTTGCATTGAGCTACCTACTTGCATCAAATTGGCTGAGCAGCGCTCCATTCAAGCCTTTCTCTGCAGTCACAACGTGCTGACCAGTCTCTTTTTGCAATGGTGGCGGTCGCGTGCACTGCGTCCCGAGGCGTTTGGGCTGCCAACAGCTTACACAACCTGCAATGCTGCGACCACCGGTCTGATCAGATCAGGTCTTCAACTGAGGTCGAGCTTAGGAAAGTTGCCAGGTCCCATCAAAGCCCAAATCGCTCAATCTCGTCTCCTTTCAATGGCCTTCCGTTCCTATCTTCGACGGGCACTCTTTCAGGTTACGGAGACTTGAGAGCCAGCTCACAAAGGTATAAGCTCAGGAAAGGCAGTGTCACCCCAATCAACGCCAGTGTGGACAGTGGGGCAGAGGCAGACGCTGTATCTGAGAGACCGCACGCGGTGACAAAGCGCTCACTGGCGCTACTAGGATTGGCAGCAGCGGGGCTGCTTGCCGCAAACGAGCCCTCTGCTCGGGCGGAGGAAGCTGAGGCCGCGAGCGCTGAATCTCCCAAGGTGACGCTTTTGCATTGTTCCTGATCTCCATCTGTTCAATGCAGGTACAACGCAGGCTGGCCTTTCTGTCTCCTGGCCCACTTAGAACCCGCAATCCTGCCAACATGAAGTTGCGGAAGTTTGTCAATGGAGAGGTTTCCAACGGTGCGTCAAAAGATTGAACGCTCTGCTGGTTGACACAGGTGACATCAAGAGTGTTCCTTGACATCAGCGTTGATGGTGAGCCGGCGGGGCGTGTGGTGCTCGGGCTGTTTGGAGAGGCCGTGCCACGCACAGCAGAGAATTTCCGAGTGCTGGCGACCGGGGAGAAGGGCTTCGGCTACAAGAACAGCACCTTCCACCGCATCATCAAGAACTTTGTGGTCCAGGTAGGTGGGGCAGATGGCAGCGGTGGGGGTGGTGGGGTCTGCGCAACCCAGAACTGGCTCTTGGAGCAGGGCAGTGCAACCGCTCGACTGGTTAGGATGCACAAGTTGCCCCATCAATTCTGGGGATCATGGATTATACTAGAGTCGTTTATAGCCCGTTGATTAGAGACAGTGAGCCTTCCAGACGTTTCTGCGGGACGCTATTGCATACGTCTGCATCCTGCACGAGGTTGAAAGTCTGCCTTTGAGTAGTTGACTCTGACAGTGCGACACTTGAACAGCAGTGGCCGTGCTTCACAGGCAATCTGTCAATCTGTCGACCAATCGTTTGGACCGATCAGCTCTGATTCAGCAGGAGCGAGACGCAGTGCACGGCCTTAGTGCTTAACCAAGCCCATTCCTAAAGCTACCGTAGGACTGTGCTGATTAGTTCCTGCCCACATCCGCAGGGGGGCGACTTCGAGTTTGGCAACGGTCTCGGTGGCAAGAGTATCTACGGCTGGAAGTTCAAGGACGAAAACTTCAGCGTGCGGCACAGCTCCCCAGGGATGCTCTCGATGGCCAACTCGGGACCAAACACAAACGGCTCGCAAGTAAGCCTGCCACTCTATGCCACACGGTTGTCAGCTCCGACTGGGCTTTGATGTATCATTGTTGGCAGAGGAAGAGTGTTTGGCCAGTTCACGATTTATGATAAAGTTCGGGCAATTATGTCCAAGAAAGAAAGGGCACGTCGTCACCCAACGGTCTGCTTTTCGCACTGTCAATTGCTGATCGACCTGCTTGCGATGTACTTATGCTGGACTGAGCTTCGTTTGGTGCAGTTCTTCATCACGTTGAAACCGACTCCCTGGTTGGACGGGCGCCATGTCGTGTTTGGAAAGGTACTGGAAGGTATGGACATAGTCCGAAAGATGGAAGACGTACCCACCAGTTCGCCGTTCTATGCGCCCCCATACCGAGTAGCCATCGTCAATTGTGGAGAGCTCTAGTTGGCTGTTTAAAAAGCTCTAACCTCCACGCCGAAAACGATTGATGTGGCGCTGAGCCTGTTGCCAGAGTACACTCTGTTTTCCCTCCATGAAATAAGCTTTCTTTGCACAACATCTGGTGCTTCGTGGCTATGTACAACGATTAAATTGGGCACCAAATGCGGCCTTGTCAACCATGCTCCTGCAGCCGCCCTCGTTGTCGTGTGGGTACTCATGGGCTAGACCTTATCGCGACTGATGCCTGTCCTGCAGTGTAACAAGTCATCCGAAATTAACATGCAGGCTAAAGATTCTTAGGCGCCCGAAATCAGATCCACGTACTGAGTGTTATTGGAAGATCCTGCATGCATGATCAACTCGACTTGAAATAGCTCAGCATACTTCAGGTATAGGAGCGGCTCGACTTAGTGAAAGCATTCATATGGCGGTTTGCGCATGACTCCCAAATTCTGCGGACAGGTTTGTCAGGGACACATGCAAGACGGACGTGACTATACCGCGAACCAGCGCGTTTGATTTCGTCAGGTTCGACGCCAAACAATTAATTATATGAAACATCTGCGGATTTCGGCACCCATAGCGTTACCTGCTAAATAAGACTATTATCGGACCGCCCAAAATGGTTTCCAGCGAAATTCGTCAGGCCAATTAAACAATTATTTAATAGTTGACGAAATTAAACGCTGGTACGGTATATTGCACCGTTCACATACAACATGTGCGAAGAATATGTACAGAGAACGCTGCGTATGCAGCTGCCATATGATTGATTTGCTCATGGCGGGAATGGAAGGTAGGACGAGAAGATGAACTAGCTGCTACAAAGATTGCTGACTCAAAGGTGCAGAACTATATACGTTGAAGTTGACGTTGCAACTCGAGGCAGAAGTAGCTACAGCTGGTGACTTTTTGGGAATCCGGGAATGGTACAAAAGGGAACATCCTTGTCAAACACGAGAGGAATCACATGAAGCGTCGAAGATATAAATCACCATCGGCTGTCACTTGTCCTGTTCTGCTTCGCGCCAAAGTTTTCACCCCTGCTCCCATCATTTCTAGCATGAGGAGGGACGTATGTTCCCCTTCTAGGCCCGGTTGCCCCTTCTTTTATCGACGGCTCTCCAGGCCCCCTATCATTCTGCCCGCGCTCCCCTGCTGGAGGTCTACTCGGCCCTGCTTCCTGCCTATTCCATCTGTCGGTCGACGCACTGTCTCGGTGCCCATTCTCGTACCCCCTCCGCTCTCCACCACCCCCCGTTGCACCGCCACCGTTCTGGTACCGCGAGCTGGACGGGCCCCTCCCCGATTGCTCCCGGAAGCCCCGCCCGTGCTGCCGTGCGGAACTGAGCCCGAAGGTGCCCGGAAAGCGCCGCTTGAGGGCCTCCAGCTGGACCGCCCACACCGGCTCGTACAAGCGCTGCACGTTGGTGCCAAAGCGGTCTACCATCTCCGCTATGCTGGCAGTTCCGGGCACGTCCAGGCAGTCCACGCGCGTCTGCGCTTTGAGCGTATCGAGCACCGCGCACAGCTGGTCGAGCACGCCGTGCTGCCGCTCCAGTGCGGGGTCGTAGCCCTGGAAGACCATGCGGAATGTGCCACGGTGCGCGTGCATGACGCGCACCTTGGCGCTGTGCGCGCGCTGGAAGAGGCAGCGCAGCAGGCAGATGGTGCTGCAGTTGATGACGTTGCCGTTGCAGTTGACCGTCAGCATCAGCGTGCCGCCCGGGGCCAGGTTGTTCAGGGCGATGATCATCTGCACGCGGGCAAGGAGGGACCTGGCGATGGGTCTAGAGGGGCGGCAGATGTCGGGTTTGCTCAACTGTCTGGTTATGAGCCGTCTCTGCGCCTGTTCGTGCTTCGTTACTACAGCCCCTCCTCATCTCGTGCTGCCATAATCGAAGAAGAGTTACACTTTGGGCCGTGCCTAGCTTTCTCACCGCCTGAAGTTCAGCACAAACGAAAGGTGATGAGATGGGGACAGCCCTTCCGACCTGCTGTTGAAGCTTGAAAGTCGGAAAAGCCATCAATTTTCGACCCCAGTACTCATAGGGCTTGATTCGAAAGGCCTCTCCTCCGAGTTACCAGAGGCAAGGTTCAAGCTTCATGTGTGGGCTTGTTAAGGCCCGATCAGACAGGCGCTTCGAAGCTGAGCGTCCAGCACAACCAACAATCTCGATGGTTTCCCCTTGATGTGCTCGACTTGCCTGTGCCACCAAGAGGGCGTCGAACCCGATGCTATGATCGGTGAACTTGGGGGGCTGCTCCACAGGCAGTTCCCGACCCTCAGCCCGAGCCAACTGCCGGGCAGCCTCAAGACCCTGCAGACAGGGCATTCCCAGGACGTCAACTTTAGGAGCCTGTTGGACCTCCGATAAATTAGCGCTATATACAGACTTTTATGACTAACGTTCTGACGGACGTGAATGTAATTGAGAGATGGACGACTTGGGCTGGCAGTCAAGCAAAACAAAATCGAGCCCCTCAGAATAGGAACTTTGTCTACGAAATCGCAAGGCACCTATCTGACCTGCGATGCCAGCCAGGGTTTGTTGCCCTGGTACATGCCCCCCATGATTACAAAGTCGGCCCCGTTCTTCGCCAGCAGCTCGCTGTCCTTCCGGAACGCCTTGGGGGGGGAGAACTTGATGTCTAGGGGGGAGTCAATGATGTCCTGGTACATGCAATGAAACCTGCCAGGAAATGCACTTTTCTGTGGCCTTCTGACATATGGAGCGGACTGCCAAAAACCTGCAGCTCAGGTGATTACTGATTCGAAATGGGACATGGACAAAGGCTGCCGGGGTCTACTACCACAAGCAACGCTTGAGTCACCCCGTCTGTCCTTGGAGGTCTTTTGCATTCAAAATCTCCATGATGTCTGCAATAATTGTCGAGGGGAAGACGCCCGAACCAACATTATCCGAAGGGCAGGGTCCCCGACACTTGATACAAGAAGCATTGAATGTCTGACCTTTTTGTATAATGGGGCGACAGGAGTTCTTCAATCATGGGGTGTCCGCCCTGCTCCACAGGCAGCGTGACGCCCATGCCACAAGCAAGCGGCAGAGTCTCCAGAACATACTTGGTGAAACCGCCTAGGACAATAGATGAGTACCCTTCAGCTATCAGATATGCGAAGTTGCAAGTGTCTTCATGGGACAAGTCAGATCATTGCATCTGCAGCGACCAATATTGGTGGCCAATCAAATCTCCTCACATAGGGAGATATAGGTAACTAATCCAGTCACTAAGTTTTATCAAGAATACCAAGCAAAGAGGCCATGTTACTCTAAGACTGTGCGATTCAAATGATTACACAGGCTATTCCGAGGCAGCTCAATCAGCCGGTCTTAAATCATGGGGCCTAGCCGCGGCAGCTTTACAACCCACTATCTCAATGTTCAGGTCCACATCACTCACCGGGCGCGCAGCAGATGTCAAAAAACGTTGCAATGGTGCCATCATTGTTCCGGATGAAACCACCACAGATGTTGTCAATCTCTGCAAGCACGTCTCTGCGATGACAGAAGGGAACTGATGATAAGGAGATTCCCAATCCTTGTAAGGAAGTAGCGACTGTGAAAAGACAACATTGGGGCTGCAACGTTAAGCACATGGTGGTGGTGGTGTTGGAAGCTCACATTGAGGCCCCGAGACTGAAAGCATGTGACTGAAAGCCATGAAGTGGCTGAAACAAACTGCACTGAATTGATCAGCATCAGAAGGTAGAGACACGTGGTGGCTTCACCTGAACTGTTGTGCGTGCCGATTCATGTTCTCTGACGAGCAATCTGAGTTTACGGGCCGATTGTTGGAAAAATCCTTGTCATTGTTCTTGTCATTCGCCACCATCTCCTTGGCCTCGCACAACTCCCGGAAAAGGGGGCTGTTCTCCTTGAAAAAAGTCCAGAAAGGGCCCTTAGCATTCTCCTCATCGTCAGCCATTTGCAATGATGGTGCCCACTGCCGCTCTCAAATCAAGCTTTTGTTTGGTCGACTGACCTTGAAATTGTCGCAGAAATCTTTCCAAGTTTGAACTTCGCTGGGGCGGCGCGAGGCTACAATCCCACCCAACCCAGGGTTTTCATCGCGGCCGTCCGTGTCAAGGCCGTCCTTCCGTGCACCGTCGATTCGAGATGTCTTCAAGAGGGATCCCCAGGCATGGCGAGTGCCCGGTTTGGCCCAAGCTTTGATAAGTTGGTCACCGTCGATGGTCGATGAGGCAAGAATTGACGGTCCCAGACGTTCTGTGCACGGTTATAGCTCGCGGTCGCTTATGATCGGTTTGTGAAAGGTTGAGACTGCCAGTCACTGAATCATTCTGGAGCTCACATGGACACATGTGCTGCCACTTCGAAGGAAGAGTCCTCTAGAACTGTGATATCTCTGCCGCCAGCAGCATTGCGCTAAGGCGTTGCACCAGGGATTGCCAATGTAAGTCTCTATTAGAGCCTGAGAAGTGGACGAAAGTCAAAGTACATGTCAGTGACAGGCTGGAAGGATCATCATTGGCGCCGGGATGGGCAGCGGCATTCTTTGAGTTGCCCGTGATAGTGACTCTAGCACTGCAACTTGTTCAAGCTAGTCACCGACAGCCAACGATGTTCACTTGTAATGGCCACCATATGGGTGGCCGCCAGCTGTGATGAGCGACGTGTGTTCGGACAAGACAGCTGGTGAGCTTTTGATTGACCGTCTGCCTTCAGAGCTGCAACTGTCTGGATTCATCATCTGTGCCAGTCAATGCCAAAGTCACGTGTCACAAAGGGCGCGCAGCGGCAGGTACACGATTTGCCTGTTTCTCTTTTTGAGTAGTATTTGCCAAATCTTGGTACAGCCTGTCAATCACAGGGCGGGGTCGAGAGAAACTCGGTCGGATGGCCGTCCATGATGCCCGCCCCTGCACATGTGAGGAAGTACCAAGATTTGGGTGTTTCTCTTTTAGACTAGAAATAACCGAATCTTGGTACATCCAATCAACTACAAGGGTCCTGGTAGGAAAACCAGTGGGATGGCCGACCCTGCACATGTGAGGAAGTACCAAGATTTGGGGGTTTCTCTTTTAGACTAGTAATAACCGAATCTTGGTACATCCAATCAACTACAAGGGTCCTGGTAGGAAAACCAGCGGGATGGCCGACCCTGCACATGTGAGGAAGTACTAAGATTTCGGGGTTTCTCTTTTAGACTAGTAATAACCGAATCTTGGTACATCCAATCAACTACAAGGGTCCTGAGATGGCCGTCCCTGCACATATGAGGAAGTACCCAGGTTTACGTGTTTCTCTTTTAAGAGAAGTAAGGGTTGAATCTTGGTACAGTGTGACGTCTGCCCTAAAGCCTCAGCTATAAAGCGGCAATACGACCAGAGAACGAAGC